TAAGCAACCATGGTGAACAAAAGAGGTTAGAGACTATCAAGCTAAAAGAAAAGGCTTACTCAAATACAATAAAAAGTGTGAATGCAGGGGAGTGGGAAAACTACAAAAGACAACAAAGGGATTCAACGAAAGTAATAAGAAGAGCAAAAAGGAGTATGAAAAAACGTGCAAGGGATACTAAAACCAATAGTAAAAGCTTTTATAAATATATTAAAAGAAATGGAATGTTCAAGGGGAATGTGGGTCTGTTAAAGACAGATGTAGGTGAGACTATAAAATAAGGAAATGGCTGACTTGTTAAATAAATACTTTGCTACCATTTTTACAGTAGAGGATGAGGACAAAATACCAGCCGTACAGGGGAACCTAAAAATACGCCAAAGAGAAATGATTAATAAAATTAATATAATAAAAGAAGGTAATGGAGAAAATAATGAGACAAATGATAGACAAATCTCCAGATAGTTTCCACCCCAGGATGTTAAAAGAAATAGGAGAGGAAATTGCAGATGTATTTGTCATAATTTTGCAAAGCTCACTAGATTTGGGAATTGTGCCCTTAGATTGGAAAATTGCGAATGTCAATCCTTTATTTAGAAGGGAGGGAGGGAGAAACTAGGAAACTACAGACCTGTCAGCTTATTGGGAAAATACAGGAATCCATCATCAGGGACTGAACACTTGGACAGGTATGAGCTAGTCAAAGAGAGTCAGCTTGGGTTTGAAGTGTAGGTCGGGTCTGACTAATCTGGTTGAATTTTTGAGGAGGTCACTAAAATGGTGGATAAGAGAGCGTCTATGAATGTTGTTTATATGGACTTTCAGAAGGCATTTGATAAGGTTCCACACAAAAGATTATTAGCGAAATGGAAGCGCATGGAGTCAGAGATAACCTTGTGATGTAGCTTGGTAATTGGTTGGGAGGCAGGAAACAGAGAGTAGGGATAAAGGGAACGTTCTCTGATTGGCGGGACGTGACAAGTGGTGTCCCTCAGGGGTCTGTACCCAGATATTCGCCATATATATAAATGATGTGGATGAAGGAGTAGAAAGTTTTATATCCAAGTTTGCAAACGACACTAAGTCATTCAGAACTCTGCAGCTCGTGTATTGTCCCGCACCAGGCTTCACGACCACATCACTCCCACCCTCGCTCGCCACCACTGGTTCCCCATCCCCCAGAGGATCGAATTCAAGATCCTCATCCTCACCTACAAGGCCATTCACGGCCTTGCTCCCTCCTACCTCTCTGACCTACTATCCCCCTACCTACCCGCCCGTACCCTCCGTTCCTCTGGCTCCAGTCTGCTCCACATTCCCTGCCCCAACCGCCCTATCATCGGTGGCCGGGCCTTCAGCCTCTCAGCCCCTCGGCTCTGGAACTCTATCCCCCAGTGCCTTCGCCGCCTCCTCCCTTTCCTCCTTCAAGGCCGGTCTCAAGACCTTTCTCTTTGACCGTGCCTTCAGCTCCCCTCTCGACTCTCTACCCCCTCCTCGCTCCCTCCCTTTCCTCCCCTCACCCTGACCATTTCCCCCTTCCTTGCTCCCTCCCTTTCCCTCCCCTCACCCTGACCATTTCCCCCCTGCTCGCTCCCTCCCTTCCCTCCCCTCACCCTGACCATTTCTCCCCTGCTCGCTCCCTCCCTTCCCTCCCCTCACCCTGACCATTTCCCCCCTGCTCGGGTCCTGACCCAACTGTACAGCGCCTTGGGACGTCCTCCCGACGTGAAAGGTACTCTATAAATGGAATCTTGTTGTTGTTGTAAGCTAGGAGGCTCAGTAAGTTGTGTAGATGGGAGTAGGAAGTTACAAAGGGACTTAGACAGATTAAGTGAGTGGGCAAAACTGTGGCAGATGGAGTTCAATGTAGGGAAACTTGGAGGTCATCCACTCTGCCCCCCCCAAAAAATAGAATATTTTCTTGATGGGGAGAAATTAAGAACGGTGGAGGAGCAAAGAGATTTGGGTGTCCATATCTACAATCACTAAAAACTAGTTCCCAAGTGCAAAAAGTAATCAAAAAGGTGAATGGAATGTTGGCCTTTACCTCAAGGGGCCTGGAATACAAAAGGGAAGAAATGATTCACTTGTATAGAGCGTTAGTCAGACCCCATCTGGAGACTGCGTTCAGGTTTGGGTATCACACCTCAGGAAAGATATATTGGTTCTGGAGGGGGTGCAGCACAGGTTCACTAGAATGTTACCAGGCCTAAAGGGGTTAAGTTACGAGGAAAGGCTGTGTAAACTTGGATTGTATCCCCTTGAGCTTAGAAGGTTGAGGGGTGATTTGATTGAGGTATTTAAGATGATAAAGGGATTTGATAGGGTAGATACAGAGAGCCTATTTCCTCTGGTTGGGGAATCCAAAACCAGGAGGAATAGTCTTAAAATTAGAACCATACTATTTAAGAGTGAAATTAGGAAGCATGTTTTCACTCAAAGGGTGGTAGGAATCTGGAATTCTCTCCCCCAAAAGGCCATGGATGGCCTTTTGGGGGAGAGAATTCACCTTCAAGAGTGAGGTTGATAGATTTTTGGTAGGACAGGCTCAGCCATGATCAAATAAAATGATGGAACAGGCTCGAATGGCTGAATGGCCTCCTCTTGTCCTATGATTACTGAGACCATCACAAAGGGTAGGTTCAATTCTGACATTCTGTTGCCAAACTTGGAGCCAGTTCAATTTCAAGGAGACTCCGCTCGTGTGGGGATGCAGTGTCAAATGCATATGTTTTCAACAGCAGTGATGTGGAGAATAGAAGTAAAGAAAACAACAACTTGCATTTATATAGAGCCCTCACGCAGAGTAGTGTTTCAGATCGCTTGACAGTGACGGAGCATGACACCAAGCCGGGCGGGGGGGTGGCGGCGTGACTGTATGCACGCACAGTCGAATGGGAAGGTCTTCAGGTATGACCTGAAGGTGGGGAAAGGCGGAGGTTTAGAGGAAGAGTGTTCCAGAGTTTTGGGGCGTAGTGGCTGAAAGCGTGGCCATCAACGGTAGAATGGAGGCACAAGTGAAATGCAGAAGGCCGGACCCTGTTGAGCGGAGGCAGTGGGTTGGGGGATAAACAGATCGGAGAGGTAGGGAGATGCCAGATCATGAAGGGATTTGAAAACGAGTGAGAGGATCTAGCAATCGATCCATTTGGTAGTAAGGAGCCAGTAGAGCCTGGCTAGAACTGTTGTGATGGGGGGTATGGAGTTCAGTGCGGGTGAGTATGCGGGCAGCGGAGTTTTATGATCCACTGGATCCTGTGCATGGTGGAGCTGGGGAGACCGGGAAAGAGAGCATTTGAGAAGTCAAGTCGGGAGGTGTTGAACGCCTGGACGAGTGTTTTGCCTCGTCTGAGGTTAGGTGTGGTCAGAGGCGGGCAATGTAGAGGAGTTGGAGGAAGGCAGACCTGGTCAGGGACTGGATGTGGGGAAGGCAGGACAGCTGTGGGTTGTGCCTAGGTTGCACACTGCTTCAGTAAGTCTGAGGGGTAGGCTGGGGAAGTTGAGGAGGTCAGAGCCGCAGGATAGAAGACGTTGACCGGAGCCAATGAACATGGCTTCCATCTTGTCAACGTTGAGTTGCAGGAAGTTTTTGTTCTCGTTCATCCAGGCCCCGATGTTCCCCAGACAAGCCAAGAGAACATCAGAGGACCTGGAGTTGCAGCTGGAGAAGTAGTTTTGTGTGTCATCTCTCATACACGTGGACGTTTACCCCATGTCTGTGGTTGACATCGCCAAGAGGGAGCATATAGATGAGGAAGAGGAGGGGGCCAAGGATGGAACCCTGGGGTACACCACAGGTGACTGGCCGGTGGAGGGAGGAGAAACTATTTGAGGAGATCAAGTGAAGGCGGTTTGTTAGGTAGGGCACTAGGCTAGTGTGGTCCCACTGAGGTGGATGACGGAGGAGAGGCGGTGGATGAAGATGGCATGATCGACTGTGTCGAACGTGGCGTAGAGGTCCAGGAGGCGAAGCAGAGGAAGCCCTGGTCACAGAGAAAGAAGACGTTGTTTGTGACCTTGACAAGCGCCGTCTCTGTGCTATGGGCAGGGCGGAAACCGGATTGCAGGGGCTCGAGGAGTGGGTGGAGGGAGAGGAAAAAAAAGCTGGTTAGCGACAAAGCATTCCAGAGCTTTGGCAAGGATTGGCAGGTTGGAAATGGGTTGTGAGGTTGAAGGAGTCGAGGGTGGTTTTTTGAGGAGGGGAGTGATGACAGTGGTTTTAAGGCGGAGAGGAACAGAACCTGAGAAGAGGGACTGGTTGACTGTGTCGGCCAGCAGCTGGGTGGGGAGGAGGTCTAGGCAGCAGGTGGTGGGCTTCATCTGGGAGATGGTGGTTGAGAGGGAGATGGGAGTAATCAGAGCAAAGGAGTAGTGGTAGGGGCTGTGGTGAAAGGAGGGGATGGTGTAGATGGTTTGGGGGGGGGGTGCGTGTGGGAGGTGATGGATGGTGGAGTGCATTGCCTTTGAGTTGTTTTTGGCCTCCAATATGGTTTTGGAGTAAAAGACAGATTTGGCCTGCGAGAGGGAGTGGCGTTAGTTGTGGAGATCCTTGAGCCACAGCTTGTGGTGGTTTGTGAGGCTGGATTTGTGCTATCTGCGCTCGAACGTCTGGGTTTTAGTTTTGAGGGAGTGGAGATGGCTGTCAAACCAGGGGGAGGAGGTAGATTTGGAGATAAAGCTGGATTTCAGGGGGGCAAGGGAGTTGAAGGTTGCAGAGATGCGATCGTTTAGCAGCTTGATAGCAGCATCAGGATCGCTGGGGTGGAAGCCCAGAGTGAGAAGAGATCCGAGATTGTTCGTGACGGACTTGGGTGGATACTTTTTCCAAGGTCAAAAAAAAGATGGTGGAGAGGTTGGGAGTGGGACGCGGGAGGAGAGGGTGATGAGGGATCAGATGGCCACATTGACCGTCATCGATGATCTGAGGTACAAACTAAAGTCAGTGCCTTCCTGGAGTATGTGTTGCTTTGAACAACTCTTTCAATATAAATTGTTTGCAGGTGAGAATACGGATCTCAGTAATGCTCCATACTTAGAAGTAGCAGATCAGAAAGGACGGCCCATTCCAATCCCCGCTGTGGAGAAAAAGGCAAGTGGTTTGAATCGTGTATTTATGTCCTATATTGACAAAAAAATGTATATCATTGGCACATTTTTTGAATTCTGCAGCATAGGACTAAGTGCCACATGGTTTTGTTAAATTAAAATGTATGTGTACATCTGCTATCAAGTGCACAATAATTCTGTTACAACAAGATTATCATTGCAATACCCAGCCAACATGTGCTTCATCAAAAACAAATTATATTTATATAGTGCCTTTCATGTCGGAAGGACGTTCCAAAGTCCTGGACAGTTAAAGGTTTGCACCTGAGCTGGGGCTTGGAATCAAAATGATTTTACATAATCTAAAGTTTCGCCCACAAATATATAGTCAATACACTTTACAGTCTATTCTGTGAAGCGCTTTGAGACGTCCAGAAGACTTGAAAAGCGCTATATCAAAAGCAAGGATTATTATTATAAAGTGCTTTATAATGTTATTCGTTAAGACCCAGGTTAGCTCGAAAGCAAAAGATTCATGTAGATATGGTTTATAGGCATCTCCTCTCACTGTAAAGTAGAACCTAAACTGTGAAGTGCATTCTTGTCATCTGAAGATTAGAACTAAAGGGACAACTGGTGAGGATGTTTTAGCTGCTTCTGGTGATTTGAGGCGACTACACTTTGGGGATGAAATGGCTGTCTTCTTGTGTTGGGGTGGGGAATCGCTCACCACCTTGGGGGAACTAGACTTTTCGTCCATTCCCCCCACTGAATTCCACTTTATCTGATCAGTAGTTCAGGAAATGGATTTTGTTGTGGTAGAGGCATCTCCTCAGAGATGATGTACTTGGCAAAGGGAGATTTTTAATATGAATATATAGAGCTCAAATATACAATGCCCTTCTCAAGATAGAATCACTGTTCATTTTCAGGGCATCAGGGGAGGGGGAGGGGGGGAAGAGGCAGATAAATGGGACTGAATGGATTGTTGTTTCAAATAGCCAGCACAGACTGTGGGCTGGGCTGTTAAAGTCTGAGTTGAGGCCGGTAAGGTAACTTGGTGGCATCCAAAAATGTGGGGAGAAGCGATAATTATCTTGTTTTAAATACTTAATTAAATATTATAAGAAAAAAACTGTTCTAATCTGTTCTGTTGTCAAGCAAGCTTGTAGCAAGTTTAACATTTGTGTTTTGTTCCCTGCTAGGCACTGGTGCTAGCCATGACATTGCATGAAAAGGGCAGAGCATTTATGAAGAAGAAAGATTATGTTTCAGCACTGCTGTATCTATTGGATGCTGATGCAGAATTTGGGTGATTGTTTTTGTTGTACACTCTCTTCACTGTAATCATACGTTTAAATACTTTCTCTCATTTGTGCTTTGAAATAGGGCAGAGACAAGCTACATAGTCAATGCTTTAACAGCACTGGGGCAGTATCTGAAAGGAGCTATGTTATCTGATGGCTTTGATCCTTGATTATGTTATTGGGATGAAAGTAATTGGGAGTTTCTGGATATATTCTTGAAAAGAAAAAAAAATTGCAAGGCTGTGGGAGAGTGGGATCGATTGGGTAGCTCTTTCAAAGAGCCGGCACAGGCATGATGGACCAAATTACCTTATTCTGTGCTGTAAGATTCTATGATTTTATGCTCCATGAGCTTTATTTGGTTGAAAGATGTTGAACAACAATAACCTGCAACAATACAATACAAATTTACATTTATGTAGCGCCTTTCACATCAGGAGGATGTCCCATGATACTGTACAAATAGAGTTTTCACCCGAGCTGAGGGGAGGCGTTCCCGAGGAGGTGGAGTTGAGGGGGAAAAATGGCTGAAAGCACTCAAAGAGGAAGGTCTTGATGTGAACCTTGAAGGAGGCAAGTAAAAGGGGCGAGTTGAAGGGACTCTGGCATGAAGTTCCGGAGAGTGGGTGCAGATACCCAGAAAGCCTGCTCGACAATCGTGGAGCGAATAGGGCGAGGGCATGGAACAGGCTGAAGCCTGCTGAGTGGAGGCTGCGGCCACATTGGATAACGTTTGAGAGGTCGCACAAGTAAGGTGGGCAAGAACATTAAGGGATTTAAATGTGAAGACAAAGATTTTGTGGACGGACTATTATTCCAAGGAATAAATAACTCATTTATTAATCATACAGTCTGTTTAACAAATCAACCCTTAAATGCATACTTACTTTAATCATTAGAATAAGGGGCAAGTGGAAAACAGCTTTCATGTATTGATCATCAAGAGTAATTTCTTGAGAAGATGTCTGCACTTTAATATTCAAAGCTTGATAGTACAAGCTCTTGTACAAAATCTGTGTTTGATTTTTGGTCGGGGTAAATTCCACCCTGGGGTCATAAATTTGAGCTCTGTGCTTATCCTTTACATTTTGTCAAGGGATTTGAGGTGCGTGTGTTTTGCTCAGCGTTTGTCGCCGTTAATGTGTTGAATGATTATCATAGAATCATAGAATCATACAACACAAAAAGAGGCCATTCGGCCCATCGAGTCTGTGCCTGCTCTTTCAATAGAGCAATTAATGTCAATCCCACTACCCAGCCCTTTCCCCATAACCCTGTAAACCTGGCCTCCTCAAATTCCGCGTTTTTAAAAGTTGTTATCGAATCGGCCTCGACCACCCTTTCAGGCAATGCGTTCCAGATTCGAACAACTCGTTGCGTGAAAAAATTTCTTCTCACCTCCCCTCTGCTTCATTTAGATACTATTTTAAATCTGTGATCTCGAGTCACCGACACACCCACCAGTGGAAACAGTTTTTCCCTTTCTAACCTATCAAATCCCCATATGATTTTGAAGACCTCCATTTAGTCTCCTCGTAACCTTCTCTGCTCCAATGAGAATAATCCCAGCCTCTCGTGCCTTTCCTCATAATCAAGGTCCCTCATTCCTGGTACCATCCTCGTAAATCTCCTCTGCACCCTTTCCAATGCCTTAACATCCTTCCTATAGTGTGGTGCCCAGAACTGGACGCAGTATTCTAACTGACCAGTGTTCATATGGTTATATATTCTATGGGTTTATATGGGTTTATATATTCTAACCAGTGTTTATATGGGTTAATCATAACCTCCTGACTCTTTTACTCTATGCCCCTATTTATAAAGCCTAGTATCCCATATGCCCTTTTTACAGCTTTATCTACCTGTCCTGCCACCTTCAAGGATTCATTTACCTGAACCCCCAGGTCTCTCTGTTCTTTCACCCCCCCCTTAAGATTGTATTACCAGCCTATATTGCCTCCCCTCATTCTTTCTTCCAAAATGCATTACCTCACATTTCTCCACATTGAAATTCATCTGCCATATCTCTGCCCATTTGACCATTCTGTCTATGTCTTCCTGCAGTTGGCTGCTATCCTTCTCACTCTTTACTACCCTACCTAACCTTGTGTTGTCCGCAAACTTGAAAATGGTACTTGCTATACCCACGTCCAGATCATTTATGTATATTAAGAAGAGCAATGGTCCTAATACCGATCCCTGGGTGACGCCACTGTACACTTCCCTCCAGTCAGAAAAGCAGCCGTTCACCACAACTCTCTGCTATCTGTCTCCCAGCCAGTTCTGGATCCAAGCTGCCACTGTCCCTTTTATACTATGGGCTTCTATCTTTCTTACAAGTCTTTCATGTGGTACTTTGTCAAACGCCTTTTGAAAGTCCATATAAATTACATCAACTGCACTACCTTCATCCACCCTCTCCGTTACCTCATCGAAAAATTCTATTAGATTTGTTAGATGATTTTTAGGCCCATTTTCACCCATTTCAGGGTGAAACCTTGGGCAAGTTTCCTTACTCCACATGCCTAATAATAATTTCTCCAAAACAAAACAATAATAAATTGGTCATTTTCAATCCACGACTGTTTGTGGGACATTGCTGTGTGCAATTGGCTGCTGCGTTTCGCCCACAAATATGCAGTCAATTCACTTTACAGTCTATTCTGTGAAGTGCTTTGAGATGTTTAGAAAATGTGAAAAGCGCTATATCAAATACAAGGATTATTATTATTATTTTGGGGATGGGGATCCTCTAGGAGATGGGGAGCCAGGGGAGCCGGGCAAAGGCAGTGGTGATAGGCTTGCGCAGCCTAGTGTGGGACTTGCACTTAGTGACTTTCAGAACATTTTGAAGGATGGGGTCAGATGCCGAACAAGGCAGAAGGGGGAGTTGGCCAAACAGGTAGGTTCGAAAGTACCATCTGTTTTAATTGTCTTCCCTTAGGGAGAATCTAATCATTCTAATCGTTCTTGACACCAATTGACCATGACTATTGGGCAGCTTGCTTTTGCTGTGGCCCCTGTTAATACCAGATATGTTTTTGCAGAAAATGTGGCTCTGAGATTCTGACCATTGTGGATAACTATGCGGTCCTGCAGCTGGAAGTGGTGTGGTGTTACGTTCATTTGGAGCAACTTGACTGTCTCCGTGATGCAGAGGATCGACTGAGGCGAGCTCAGACGCGGCTAAACAGCTGCTATGGAGAGAATCTGGAGCGACTCTACAATCTGAAAGTTTGTTTGTGTTTACCTTTACTCCGAAACCTAAAGGAGTGTGTGGGGGGTGCTTTCCAACTGTTTTTCATTAAGCATGGTAAACGTGGACAGCGATATCAATGGCAAGCATTACAGTTTTAGCTGGTTAGATTCTAGCTGAGTGGAGGTCCTGAGGTCCCCAATTCTTGGCTCTAACCAACCTGCGCCTAATACTTTCTGGAATTAGGTAAGCAGGAGAGCGTCCCTCCAGGGAGAGAGTGCGCATTCCATTCCAACAATCTATCTGGGATTTCCATGTGCAGGTGGGATGCATGGACTTCTCAGCTTGGTTTGGATACTCTTAAGCATGGAGTGATGGGTTTCTGTATGTGTCAGACATCTGACTCGAGTGAAGATGCCAGGTGGTGAAGTGAGAAGGTCGGAGAAGTAGGGAGGTGCCAGGGAGTAAATGGATTTGAATATGAGCGTGAGGATCTTGAAGTCAATCTGGGGAGCCAGTGGAGCCTGGCCAGAACTGGTGAGATGGGGGTACGGAGTTTGGTCCGGGTCAGTATGTGGGCAGCAGAGTTCTGAATGAGCTGGATTTTTTGAATAGTGGAGCTGGGGAAACCGGCGAGGAGTGTGTTTGAGTAATCCAGGGGGAGGTGACAAACGCATCCACGAGGGTTTCGGCTGCATTTGAGGTAAGGTATGGTTGGAGCCTGGCAATGTGGTGGAGGTGGAGGAAGGTGGTCCTGGTCAAGAACTGGATGTGGGGGAGGAAGGACAACTGGGGGTCAAACCGGATGCCTAGATTGTTCACTGGCTTGGTGAGTCTGAGGGAAAGCACAGGGTGGTTGAGGAATTCAGATCTGCAGGAATGAAGAGTTTGACAGGAGCCAAGGCTTCCGTCTTGTCCACATTCAGCTGCAGGAAGTTTGCACTCATCCAGGGCCTGATGTCTGCCAGACAAGCTGATAGAAGATTGGCGGACCTGGAATCGATGCTGGGGGAGGCCAAGTAGATTTGTGTGTGATCTGCAAACATGTGAAAGTTTACCACATGTCTGCAGATGACATCGCCAAGAGGGAGCATATAGCTGAGGAAAAGAAGGGGGCCAAGAATGGAGTACTGGGGTACCCCACAGGTGACCGGGTGGAGGGAGAAACCATTTGTCAAAATGAAATGGAGGCGGTTGGTTAAGTAGGACTCGGACCATGCGAGTGTGGTCTCACTAAGGTGGGTGAGGGAAGAGGATGAGGGAAGAGGTTGAGAAGGATGGCGTGGTTGACTGTTTCGAACGCGGCAGAGATATCCAGGAGGACGAGGAGGCAGAGGGAGCCCTGGTCACAGATAGAGAGGATGTCATTTGTGACTTTGACTGTTGTACACTTCAGTCTATTCAGAAATTGAACCATTTCAAGAATTTGAATCAAGGCGTCAACAACACATTTAATATAGGATCTTTCACATCCACCCGAGTCCCATTCAGTTTCCTATTGAAACCACTTTAGATTTCTTTACACTAGTTGTATTAATCATCCTCTAACTTGTAACTCCCCTATCCTCCATTACTCCCGCATTGTGGAGTCCTATAGCTCAGTGAGGGCACGTGAGAGACCTGAGCTTGATTCCCGGCAGGGCGAAATGTTAGGCAAGTTTCCTTATTCCACATGCCTCTGTTCACCTAGCAATAAGATTATTAGTAACTTGGGGATTGCTTTTCTGGGGTTAATAATAATAAATTGGTCACTTCAAACCACGACTGTCTGTGGGATACCGCTGTGCGCAATTGGTTGCCAGGTTTCGCCCACAAAATATACAGTCAATTCACTTTACAGTTAATTCTGTGAAGCGCTTTGAGACGTTTAGAGGACGTGATAAGGCGCTATATCAAATGCGAGGATTATTATTAATTACTGGCTGCAATGAATCGTGGGAAATGACAACCTGACCCGTTACTGCATGCGCAGAAGAATTTCATTTCCTATTATTCAATGCGATTCCAATGCTTGCTGGTGATGGGAATGTAGTTTTGACCTGTCTCCCCATGTGCACTCAGACTTCGCGTAAATCATATTAAATGTTATGGTCCCGACTGATGCGACTTTTGAGGACTTTACTGTAATAAGTTGCTGACGTGCTTGGCTTTCACAGGGTAACACTGCGAAAGAGCAAGTCCTATTCCTGCGTCTGAAGCTTCTTCAGGGAGTGGTGTTGTACCACAAGGGAAAACTGGATGAGACTAACAAGCACCTGAATGAGGTACAGCAGGTTTTAATTCGCGTTCCATTTTCGCCATTTTAACAAGTTTCTGTTCATCTGCTCGACGATTATCAACAATAAAGCACACTGCTATTTAGGACTCAGCCTGATTGCACTCTTGCCTCTGACTCAGAACATTGTGGGTTGATGCCCATGAAAGGACTATGAGTCTAGTCTGGGGTGTCACTGCAGGGCATTTTGTGCAGGAAGGAGCGTGGTGGGGAAGCACATCATTATCGGCAGCACAGTCCTTTGGATGAGATGTTAAGCTGAGAGCCCATCTGCCTGTTTAGACGGACCCTAAAAATCCAATGTCATTGCCAGAAACAGAAGGGAGTTTCTCTCTCCTGGTGTCATGGCCAACAATCCCCCATACAAAATTGATCATTCACTTCAAAGCTGTTTATGGTATATTGCCGTACTCAAAATTGACTACCGTGTCTGCCTAGAAAACCTACCAACTATACAGTAAATCGTGTGAGGCACTTTGAGACAGTTCAGTGTGATAAGGTGCACTGGAGAGGGTGCAAAGGAGATTCACAAGGATGATCCTAGAACTGAGAGGTAATACCTTTCAGGAAAGGCTGAAAATATGTCGACTCTTCTCTTGAAAAGAGGAGGGTAAGGGGTGACCTGATAGAGGTTTTTAAAATTATGAAAGGTTTTGATAAGGTAGACATAGGGAAGATGTTTCCACTTGTGGGGGAGACCCAAACCAGGGGCCATCAATATAAAATAGTTACAAATAGATCAAATAGGAAAGTTAGAAGAAATTTCTTCACATAGAGAGTAATGGGAATGTGGAATATGCTACCACAAGGAGTTGTTGAGGCAAATAGCATAGATGTATTTAGGGGAAGCTAGATAGGTACATGAGGGAGAAAGGAATAGGAGGTTATAATAATAATAACAATACTTGCATTTGACATAGCACTTTTTCACGTCTTCTAGACGTCTCAAATGCTTGAAGGCTTAGTTGAGGAAGGCCAGGAGGAGGCTCATGTGGAACATAAACCAGTTGGGCCGAATGGCCTGTTTCTGTGCTGTATATTCTAATGTATTCTAATGTATTAAGTGCAAGGGTTATTATTATTTAAAACTGTAGTCATGTATTGTGCTAAAGGAAGGTGTTATCAATAGTTATAGATAATAATATGGGCAGAAATGGCAAACCGTTGAAGGATATTGGATGTCTGAATTTGTCCAATGTTTTTCATGCACACCTTTCTCTCTTTTGTTCGTCTCTCTTCAGGCGGAAATGTTATTGAGGAAGCTTTCTGTGGACGACACAAAGGTGACTAAGCTTATGACCTTTGGGTTCACAGCCCAGGAGGCACGCCTAGGTTTGCGAGCATGTGAGGATGATATAGAATCAGCTGCATCCCACATCTATCAGCGGAGAGAGGTAACTTTGTCTTTACAATTTCTCCCATTCCTTGGGTCTTCCCCGGCTCTTGCCAATGTTCAGATTACTACTCCTCCTCTTCGACTGTGCCTTCGGCCACCCTCCTACCCTTCCTACCCTCCCTTATCCCCACCCCCCACTTTGCTTGGGTCAAATCCCTGACTTGGGACGTCCTCCCGACGTGAAAGGTGCTACACAAATGTAATTTTGAATTGTATTGTGCTACAATAACTTGCATTAATATAGCGCATTCCCTTCTCAATCCTCATTGGCTCCCACTTCTCCTTACCCCACCCCCTCCCCAGCTCGGGTGAAGCTCTTTGAGACATGAAAGGCGCTGTGTTTTGTAGTAAAGGTATGTGATGATTAATTGTCTGCGTTTAATTGTTATTATCAATTATCTGGGGGAAAAATAAACATTGATGTCAGTTGAAAATTTTAACAAAATAAATAAAAATCTAATGCAGAATAAAGGATTATTATTTTATAATTTTATTTAATTTAATGACGTGATAAAGTCACCATATCAAATGCAAGGACAATTATTGTTTTATAGTTAATAAAGAAGTAGTAGTAGTAATCTGTTTAGGCTTTTAAGGGCCGATTCAAGACCTTTCTCTTCAACCGTGTCTTAGGTTATCTTACCACCAACAACCCTTTCCCTCCACCCCTCTTGACTCCAACCCACAGCATGGATGCAAACCCTTAACTGCTCAATTGCTTGGGATGTCATTCCGATGGAAAATGTGCTATAAAAATGCAATTTGTTGTTGTAGTCCTAATCTATTACTACAGATTATTTAGTAAAATAGAGTTCTATGACTCACTTATGCTTGCTTTGATTTTTATATATTCTGACCACTTTGCAGGATAAAGCTGAAATCAGGAAGAAGGAGAGGATGGAGAGGAAAAGGAAAAAGCAGGAAGCGATAAACTCTCTGATGGCCAGGGGATTTTCAGAAAACGCTGCCACTAAGGCATTTAGATCAGCAAATAATAACTTCAAGCGAGCCCTGGATGTCAGTATATATGTGTGTGTGTGTGTCTATATATATATATATATATATATATTTATAGCGCTCTGAGACGATACCCTGTATAAAGGGTGCTGTATAAATGCAAGTTGCTGTGATTGTTGTCTTATCTGATAACACCTTTTATTTGATGCCTTTCACGTCAGGAGGATGTCTTGGGTGCAAATTGTTGATTGTCCAGGGCCTTGGAACGTCCTCCCGATGTGAAAGGTGCTGTACAATTGTTGTTTACAAGCACTTACTGTACTGTAGACTTGAGTGACGGTGTAATTATGCCCCCTGTGGAGTTTTGCCTGACTTTGTTCTTGCTAGGAAAACAAACCAATGCAGGTTATGTTTGTATAGGAAACCTTTCACATTGGGAGAACATGCCCTTAACACGGCTGGTAAGCAAACCAGTGGGGAGGTGGTCCTTGGGAAGGGGAGGTAAGCAGGGTCTCCTTGGAGCTGAGATGGCTGGCAATGGAATATCAGAATTGAGCCAGCCCTCTGTGGTGGTAACAGTTGTCTGGTCCCTGAACCAAGTGGGTGCAAAGGACTCCTGTGCACTGCTGATGGCAGCCCAGTTAGGCTGGCTCATTGACAGGACTACATATTTTCGTGTCTTAATTTACGGTATGAAACCTTTGTGCATTACAATCAAAACCATGCTCTACGGCTGAGTGTCTTGTGTACCGCTATTCTCTTGCAACAGCCACGTGAAATGCTGGTTGATGATTCCCATTTGCTCTACATCAGAAGCCATGTTGTTTGGCTGCCTCTGCTATGCATGAACCAAGAGTCTTTGAATGTTTTGGTACGGATTTGTTTTAAACCACTTGCAAACTTTCTTTTTAGATACTTGAAAACAGTCCTGAACTGTCTCATCCAGAGGATGATCTGCCCGGGCCAAGTCACCAAGTCCAAATTACTGAGGAAACTATTAACCAGGTATTAAACGTGTTTGTTCTATGGCCGCTTACAAACAGTCGTTCACAAACTCATGTTGGTCTATTGTGTTGCTCCATCACACCTCTGTCTTAAATCGTCCAAATTGGAAGTGCGCATTGTGGGATTGCTTTGCTGTACTGCAAAGGGCTCAATGGAGCAGCCTGGCAAAAAGCTTGCAAAATGTGCAGGATAATCTAGTTAGCAGGTCCGCAAATCCTCGAGTTTGATCTCTACCATGTCTGATGGAAGTTTGTGCTAATCTGCCAATATCTACTGCTGTCTTTACTTTTGGATTTTATGTTTTTAACAATATTTCATATAATAATAATGACAATAATGTGGAATCCTGTAGCTCCGTAGTTAGAGCACTCACTTTGCATACAAGAGACCTGGGTTCAATTCCCGGCAGGGTGAGATCTTGGGCAAGTTTCCTTACTCTACACGCCTGATAATAATCCCTCAAGAAAAAAAAACAATAATAAATTGGTCACTTCAAACCACGACTGTTTGTTGGACACTGCTGTGCGCAATTGGCTGCCGCATTTTGCCCTCAACAAAATACAGTCAATTCATTTTACAGTCTATTCTGTGAAGCGCTTTGAGACGTCTAGAAGCCGTGAAAAGTGCTATATCAAATTATTATTATAATATTTGAAGTGGCGATTGGCAATCCATGTTCTATCTGGCTTCTAAAACATAAATACATAAGACCAAGTTAGACGAAAAAAGTCCAAGGTCCATCTCGTTCGCTTTCCACCTTGCTGGTGGTCGCATGCACATATGTCCCAAACTACCTATGTACTATATCCTATAATGTTATTTCCTAAAAGAAAACTATCTAATCTGTGTTTGAAAGAATCAACACTTCCTGCTTCAACCTTCTCTCTAGGGAGCCTGTTCCACAGGTTCAGTATTTGCTAATTGAAACAGTGTTTGCGTAGATTTGTTCTGAATTTACCTCCCTTCAATCGCTGCCTGTGTCCTCTGGTTTTACTATTCTGGACAAGTTGAAACAGCCTGTTATGAACTATATTGTCTTGCCCCTTTAGAATATTAAAGACAGCAAGCAATCCTGAATCTTCTCTTTTCCAGGGTGAACATGTCTAATTTACTTAGTTGCACCTCAGAGTACAGTCCCTCCATTCCCTCAACCATTTTGGTTGCCTCCCTCTGTATCTTCTCGATTTCTTCAATATCAACAACAACAAGATTCCATTTATAGAGCGCCTTTCACGTCAGGAGGACGTCCCAAGGCGCTGCACAGTTGGGTCATGACCCGAGCAGGGGTGAAATGGTCAGGGTGAGGGGAGGGAAGGGAGGGAGAGAGGAGGGGGGAAATGGTCAGGGTGAGGGGAGGGAAGGGAGGGAGCGAGGAGGAGGAAGAGAGTCGAGAGGGGAGCTGAAGGGAAGGGAAAATATCCTTTTTGTACTGCGGCGAACAGAATGTACACAATACTATTAAGTATGGTCTCATCAATGATTTATACAGTGACAGGATTACCTCACTATTTCAGCTTGCTATAGATCTTTTGATACATCCCAACATCTGGTTTGCTTTATGGACTGCCACAGAGCATCGTTGGGAGAGCTTCAATTTATTGTCAAGCAGGACCCCCAGGTCCTTTTCACTTTCCATGCAGGTTTTCTTCCTTCTGTTCAAATATTAGTCCCTTCAAGGATTTTTTGTCCCCATGTTAAGTACTTTACATTTCTCCACATTGAATTTCATCTGCCACCGATCTGCCCAATTCCCAAGTATGTTCAAGTCCTCCTGGAACCCATCTTGTTCAGCTTCGCAATCTAACACCTTCATTAGCTTGGGGTCATCTGTAAACTTAGCGTCTGTGCTTGCAACTCGTTCCAGATATTATAAAAATATTAAACAAAAGAGGTTCCAAAACAGACCTCTGTTGAACTCCAATGGTAACATTTTCCCAGTCTGATGACATTCCCTGTACCACCACCCTCTGGGTTCTTCCGGTCAACCAGTTGTGTATCCGTTGTAATATACCTCCACTGATTCCCGCTTTCTTTACTTTCGGCACCAGCCTCTCAAGAGGAACTGTATCAAAGGCCTTACTGAAATCCAGATATATATCCACATCCTTAACCTTATCAAGCTGCCTTGTCACACATCAAAGAAAACCAGTAAATTAGATTGGCAAGATCTCCCCTTCATGAACCCATATTGGCTATAATTTATGGTTTTATTTTTGTTACCTTTCTTAAAAATAGGAGTAACATCTGCCTGTTTCCAGTCCACCGGCACCTCTCCAGTATTCAGTGATTTTCGCATTTCTGCGACTTCCTCCTTTAATTCTTTAAAGATTCTTGGATACAATTTATCCAGCCCCTGAGATTTATTTACCTAAGTTTGCACAGCTGCTTGGCAACTATGAATGAATATGAATAGTGTTCCAACTTTCCTCTGCGACATCCTTGAGTTCTCTTTTTAGGTCAGATAGGTTACCCGTCTCCTCCTTGGTACATACTGATGCAAAAGACTTATTTAGCACTTCTGCAGCCTGTGCAGCAATATTTGTCATGTTCTCTCCCGAACTCACCTTCAGTGGCCCTATTCCATTGCTTGTTTTTCTTTTACTCTTAATGTAATGTAACTAAAAAACTTTTTGATATTATCCTTCACATCTCTTGCCATGTTCAATTCAAAGCTTTTCTTTGCTATTCTGATGCCTTTTTTGTAGTCATGGCATGGCTTCTGGTATTGAATCCGACTTAATTCTGTGCCATTTTCCTTCATGGCTTTAAATGCCTTTTTTTCCCTTTTTATGATTTGCTTTGTAGCCCCATCCAACCAGGCAGGAGTGCCTTTAAGCTTGGAATCTTTGCTTCTCATGGGTACACGTTGTTCCATTGCCTTCATAATCACCTCCTTGAAGGAACTCATAGGTCCTCCTCCCCCACTGCCATATTTAAGCCTGCCAGGCCTACGCTGACTGAACTTCCCAAGCGCACAAAGTCAGTCCCCATGGCAATTTGTTTAGGTTTTATAATCTCACCAGTTCTTGTGATGTCAAATGTGACTGTATTGTGATCGCTGTTGCTTAATGCTTCTCCCACCTTTATGTTAGAGATTTGCTCATCCCTATTACTCATTATCAAATCCAAGATGTTATTTCCCCTTGTTGGCTCTTTCACAAACTGAGTCATAAAGCAGTCTTCCTTTAACTCTAGAAACCCCTTCCCTACCTTACCAGTAGACACATTATTATCCCAATCAATTTCAGGTAAGTTTAAAATCTCCAACTACTATGGTTGGTCCTTTGCTAGTTGCCTTCCTTATCTCATCCCACAGTTCCAGATCAAGGCTTTCACCCTTGCTTGGGGGTCTATAGCAAACCCCCAATAATAGCTTATCTCTGTTGCCATCTTTTAATTCTTCCAAAAATGATTCTGTGTCTGCCTTTCCTTTTTTATATTCGCCTACTTGTGTCTCAATAAGGGAGCTTATATATAGTGCCACACCTCATCCTCTTCTCCTGATACAGTCCCTCCTAAACAGTCTATAGCCTTTCAGATGCGTATCCCAAATTGATTGGATTCATTCCACCATGTCTCAGTGATGCTAATGATGTTCAATCTGTCACCCCTGACAAAACCTTCCAGATCACGCATCTTGTTTGTCAGACTTCTTGCATCAATGCAAATACAGCTCCATTGTTTTGCCTTCCCCATTTACTGTATAAGCATTTTTTGTTTCTTTTTCACCAACCTTTCGAGTTAAACCCATTACACTGGCAAGCCTTAAGGTTTTCCCTAATTGGTTCGGGTGCTCCCTTACATCTACCGCAACCACCCCTGTGCCTAGTTTAAACATTCCCTAGCTAAACTATTTATCCTGTCTGCCAACACCTCCACCGCCACGCATTTGTTTAGGTGGAGCCCATTCAGTCTGTATAGACCATTCCGAAAGGTGCCCCATTGTTTGAGGAAACGAAAGCCTGACTCCCTATACCACGCATTGGTCTGCCTATTTACCCTCTGTCTTTCCTCACAAGCATGAGATATGGGTACTATTTCGGAAAATACTATGCTTGAAGTCTTCCCTTTAGCTTCATTCCTAATGCTCTAAATTTACCCTAACCTCTGGTCTACTTCTATTTATGTAATTTCTTCCCGCATGAACAACTACAATAGGTTCCTTACCTGCTCCCTGTAGCATTTGGTCAACCTAAGTTTAAAACTATAATTTAAGTACTTGTCAGAAGTTCATAAGAGGAGTTCAGATCAAAAAGGTCCTGCAACCCATTTAATTTCAGCCTTCCTGGACAGTTGCCCTACTGTCCATACAGCATTAAGTTGTTATTCAAATGAGACCAGCATCCTGTAACCTGTTCCCGTCGTTAAACACCCTCTGGCTAAAGAAATGCTTCCCAGTGCCTGTCCTGAAATGGATTTTGTGACCCTAACCACATCTGCAATGTACAGGGAGACTACATTGTGTAGAATTCCATGCATTCCACCTACACATGGAAATCCCAGAGATAAATTGTTGGAATGGAACGTGCACTCTCTCCCTGGAGGGACACATCCTGCTTACCTAATTCCAGAAAGTATTAAGTGCAGGTTGTCAGGCGCCAAGGCTTGGGGAACCAGGAGTGTGTGTTGGGGTACTGCGGGAGTTGAGTCTTTTATGGGGGTACTTTAAATTCAATAAATGTTCACAATTCTTTTCTTTCTCCTGCAGAGAAAAATCAAGCAACAACAGTTTTAGTTTAGCGGAGTGGCAAAGTATTTATCAAGATTTTGTTTTTTGCGAACAGTTTCTGAGCCACTTAAAATTACACCATTGTCTTTGTACCCCCTTCCTTTCCCCGCCTGTATTTAAATCTAGGTGGCATTTCTGGGTTTTGATCACTCTGCTGCCGAGATTGCCCTCAGGAGGTTTCACGGGGACGTGGAGCGGTCGGTTCAGGCCCTAATAGCTCACGACGGATTTCTTCCTTCAAGTCTCCTGAATTCACCGTCGTCATCGTCACCAGAGGACATGGAGGTGGATGAGGGTACGATTGTTGCTGTTAATGAGAATTACCTATATTTGCAGATGTTAAGCATTGACACTCTCCTGCATTTATTCATACTTTTAATAATAATAATCCTTGCATTTGTTATAGTACCTTATCAAGTCGTTGAGACATCTCAAACCGCTTCACGGATTGTATTGTATTTTAAGGTCTCTGCTTAAATGAGCACCTTAGAAGTATGAATAAATGCAGGATAAGATCTCTGCTTAAATGAGCACTTTGAGTAGTTTCACATGAATTGGAGGTTCGTAGATTGATCAGAAAGGAGCAGGCTGGCTTTCGTTCTCATGAGGAACGTGTGGGATTGGTTGTGGTTCTTGTATCAGACAATAGAATGTCGTGACGGTAAAGGGAAACCCATCTATGTTGCGTTCATCGACTTCCGCAAGGCCCGTCCCACCATTCTGCCTTCTGCCCCCACCCTCTGGAACTCCATCCCGTATTTCCTCCGCTTCACCCCCTCCCTTGCCTCCTTCAAGATCCATCTCAAGACCTCTTCGACTGTGTTTTCAATCACCCTACTTCCCCCCCCTCCCACGCCCTCCACCTTCCCCAATCTCGAACCTCAGCTTGAGTCCAAAACTCTGACTCTCCTGCACCACAAAGCGAAGGCAGATGAGTCCTCATCTCCCATCATGATGGTATGATCAGCACCTGATTTCAGTATTGCACCACAAGAAGGTTGTAAGGGCACATCCAGAGAAAGAAACAGACCAGTATAGCCTTAATAGAGAACCATGGTTTCTAGGAATCAAGGGTTGCCTGCTTTCCGATGGCGTCCCCTAACTATCTTTCATGGAACTGCAGGAGTGTCTGGGACACCCAAGTCTGCTGGTCACGGGGGAAGTAAATTTGCGCCAATTGCTCTCTACTCAGCCCAAAATGCTGTATTCTGTTGAGAGAACGATCTTCCCTTCATTTCATGGCAGCCCACACAAAGTTGAGTGTGGGGGGAGGGGAAAGAGGTTGGGCTCCTCCCTCCCTGAGATTTAATTGAATTTAATCAACTCCCTTTCACGTGCGACCCTGGTATCTGGGAGCAAACATTTATCACGTTTGTCTGAGGACGAGACTCCCTCCCCCTTCACAAGAGAATGAATGTTCCTCTTGGCTTGTCTTTCAGCTCTCAAGCCTCTATTTCTGGGAGAGGAGGGGACTTTCCCCACGGGAGCAGTGGCTCTGTTTGGGATCTCCATAAGTGGGCCTTTTAGAACTCCTTTTAATTTAACCAGGAGTAAAGTGTGTTCCCCTTCTGCTCCTGATGAATCACACATATTGTATTACTAGAAGTAATTTGAAAGGTTGAAAGTCATGATACAAGCTTATATCTAGAAATAGCCTCCCTTTTTGCATCCATTGATAAACTCTGAAATAAATATTGTACACAATTCAACAAGGTAATGTCCATTAGCTCCTGACAATTTGTACCTATCTGGTTTCCTTTAGGATAGTCTAACCACCTGGAGATGTAGAATACAGAAGAGAATAGAGGAATAGGAGGGATGGTTGGGAGCTTGTGTGGAGTATAAACACCGGCACTGACTGGTTAACCTGTCCTGTCCTGTATCACTCAGTGATACTCCACCAAGTTTGTGCTACTGAAGTCTTGCAAGTAATTACTCAGGAGTCCCATAGCATAGTGGTTGGTGTACTTATCTCTCAAGCAAGAGTACCCGAGTTCAATTCCCGGGCAGGGTGAAATCTTAGACACGCCTATGTTTACCTAGCATTAAGTAGTTTGTTATTTGATTGGCGAATCACTTTCTGGGGATAATAATCAACAACAACAACTTGCATTTACATAGTGCCCTTCACGCGGGGTAGCATTGCCAGTGGAGTCTGGCAACGAGCCAAGGGAGAGAGGGAGTGGGGCGGTGACCATAAGCACAATCAAAAAGGAAGGTCTTTAGGTGGGATTTGATGATGGGGAGGGAGGAGGCAAGGTGGACAGATCGAGGGAGAGAGTTACAGAGCTTCAGGGAGTAGTGACTGAAGGCATGGCCACCGTTGGTGGAGCGGAGGGCACAATATGACTTATTGTCATAAGGAGGCCGGAGCCAGCCGAGCGGAAACAGTAGGTGGTGGAGTGGGGGGTAGGCAGGGAGGTGCGAGGAATGAAGTGATTTGAAAGCGAGTGAGAAGATTTTAAAAGTCAATTAATTCAGTGATTGGGAGCCAGAGGATTCTGGCAAGGATTCTGGAGGCGGCCTCTATCTCGGAGATGAAGAAATCCAAGACTTCTTTGCACTTGACATTTGATGTTAGGATTGAAGGTGCTTGATGGGGTTCGGGGTGGAGGTGGTGGGTGGTGGAGAACAGAATTTTGCAGTCGTTTTTGACCTCCAGAACGACCTGAGTAGAATGCAGTTTTGGTTTGTGAGAGGGAGTGGCGTTTGGTGTGAAGATGTTTGAGCTAGCGGTGAACCATGAAGCTGGTTTTGTGCCATCTGCGCTCCAGCAACCGGGTTTGTGATTTGAGAGAGCAGAGTTGACTATTGTACCAGGAGGAGTGGACAGGTTTGGTGATGATCCTGGATTTCAGGGGGACAAGCGAATTAAAGGTGGAGGAGGAGTGATTGTTTAACAGCTTGATGGCTGCATCAGGATCACTGCTGGTGGAAGGCCAGAGGGTGTTAGGTCCATGGATGAGAGGGCGTTTGTGCGGGACTCGGGCGGAGGCTTTCTCCATTGGGGGAAAAAGATTTTGGAGAGCTTGGAGGAGAGAGAGAGATAGGCGAGGACAGGGAAATGAAAAAGTAGTCAGAGATGGGCTTGTCCCTGATGGACAGACCAGTCTAGGCCATGTGTGACTATGAGGTTAAGAGGGTGGCTACAGTTGTGGTTCGAGGAATTAATATGGAGGGTGAAGTTTAGGGTGGAGAGGAGGGCAGTGAAATCAGAGGAGATGGGCAGGAGGAGTTGAGGTGAAAGTTCAAGTCGTCCATGATGAACAAGCGTTCCGTGAAGAGGGACAGGAATGAGAGGAGACAGGAGATACCCTTGAGGAAGAAGCCAGGAGGTTTGGGGGGGTCGGTTAACTAGGAGAATTTGTTAATTGTGCAGATCTGTGGAGTCCTGTAGATCAGTGGTTAAAGCAATTACCTCGCAAGAGTGAGGACCTGGGTTCGATTCCTAGCAGGGTGAAATGTTCAGCAAGTTTCCTTACTCCACTCTGTTTACCTAGTAGTAAGTAGGAACCCGGTTGTCAGTCGATTGGTGGATTGCTTTTCCGGGGGTAATAATTCGTTCAAAAAAAAATTTGGTAATTTAATCCAAGAGATTAAATTATCAAGGGTCCTGGAGTCAAGGGTGGAGGCATATTGGTCACTCAATCCACAAATGTTTGTGGAATCCTGCTGTGCGCAATTGGCAGCTGCGTTTCGCCCACAAAATACAGTCACTCCACTTTAAAGTATATTCTGTGAAGCACTTTGAAACTTATCAACAACTGAATAAGATGCTATTTCAAATGCAAGTATTATTATTACTTCAAAAACAGAAGTCGCTGGGAACACTCAGCAGATCAGGCAGCATCTATGGAGAAAGGAAAATGAGTCAACGTTTCGTCAGAACTCTTGATTTCAGATTTCCAGCATCTGCAGTATTTTGTATCTTGTACTTCATTTGGTCTTGCAGGTGAGTCTGCGGAGGAAAGGCGAAAGGAACGCGAAATCGTGGAAGAGGTGTTAGCAGACATTCCCGAGCACGAGGAGGACTACTTGGATATGACTCTGGAGGAGGAGAAGGAAGTGATTTACAAGTACAAAAGCTGGCTACAGGGTTCACAGCAATCCACGTCCTAAGCATCTGCAAGAGGAGCCGAGTTCCACCTGCCTTCATTTGATCACTCGTCGACTTTAGCTTTAATTTTTAGCAGTGATTTTGAACACACCGGACTAGTGTTTTGGCATGTTGAGATTCTGTATTTGTTCTTTATTTTAAATCAACTGTGCTTTTCGTGCAGTGATTTGCACCTCAGTAACACTCCGCTCGTCTTAAGTAAGACTGGACTCACTTTACCAGCAAAGGTTTTCTAGTTTCCGATGTGGGAGGGGGATTTGGGTGTGGGAGGAGAAATACTACTTGGTACAGTAAGCGCCAGGGCTCGTTATAATGGCTTGTGGATCTGAAGGATGATTTTGATGGCTGTTGGAGCCCATGTTAAATGGCACTGCTATAGGGGACTTTCCTTAATTTTCTCTTTTTATCCTCTTAATTAATTAATTAATTAATTGGGGTTCCCAAGTCTGGGCTCTTGCCAACTTGTACATAAAACTCTGCAGAATTAGGTAAACAGGATACATCCTTCCAGGGAGAGAGTACACATTCCATTTCAGCAATCTATCTCTGAGATTTCCATGTGAAGGTAGGATGAATGAAAATCTCAATTTGGTTTGGATATGCTTAAGCATGGTGATGGGTTTCCGCATGTTTCAGACATCCACCCGGTTGACCAAAGAAAATCCTCCTTTTTCTCCCTCCCATTTCCACTCCCAAAATCCTTCCCTCCCCCACCACCTTTGGGCTGTTCTTCTGCCTCAGTCACACTGTAGTTCATTGCTCTCAGGCTCATGCTTACATCTGATCCCAGTAATAGCCTCCTCCCCACATAGAGGAACGTTTCACACACCAGCAGGCACCTCATTTTAACACTGATCAAGATAAGAGGCTGGGACAGTCACAGCTACTGTCTTGTCCCTTAACTCAAGCTGAAGTTTCTTTGAGATGCATATTTTATGATGTTGGAATAATAAAATGCGATGCCCCAAATCCCTCTCCATTATTGAGATTCTACCAAAAGAACTGGAGATTTTTTTTCCCCCTCCCTTACTGGAAAGGTGCACTTTGCTTTTGCTCAGTATTCAGATTGTGCTTTCATCCTCTGTATCATCTCTTCACTCACTACTTTCTCCCACATTCTCCTCTTTAAGATTCCTTGTAGGCAAACAACTAGCAGGCTTCAGCACACTGCTGGGTTTGAAATGTACATTGTACATGGTGTCCACAAAGTCTTGTTACCCCATGTTTTTTTTTCTACAGTGCACTGACCAACAACTGAAACGTGGAAGAATGATGATAATTGCATGGAGAAGTACTTAATTGTATTCAGTATAAGCGTTTAACTGTATTTAGACATCCAACAAAGTGAGTGAGCGCCATCATTTTCATGGCATATAATGATCCGTCGCCAAGTTCAGTGCCACATCTTCCGTAACGTGATGGAGTGACGAGGAGAAGTGCATCTCTGACAGCTTGTTTCAGCTCCACTGTAGTCTTTTATCGCTGTTTTGTAACAGGGGGGTAACAGGACTTTGTGGATACCCTGTATAATGCATATGAACTGAACCTCACGGTTTTATTTTTTTTTAAAGTTGAGTGAAAATTTCAGCAAAAAACAGATTTATATAAAGTTGATTGGAATTTAAAGCATATGAAATTATTTTTTTTGAGAGGTGTATTTTGTCTTAATCTAGTAAATTTTTGTAGAGAAGCCAGATTGTCAGCAGTTACGCCGACTGAATTTTTTTGATATATATATATATTAAGAGAAATGTGCTTTGGGATTTCAATATCCTGTAGCATATCCTGGATTTGTCCTCTTTGATCTCATCCGTTCCTTTTTCTCTCTTGGTATGGTAAGTGATAGGTCGCTATATCAAATGCAAGGATTATTGTGGCTGCATTCAGTGAAGCAATCCGTGCTGCAGCACAGATGGTCAGTCTACGCTGTTGCAATGAGCAGCAGCCTCATGGACTGTGTGAGCGCATGTTGCTCACCAGCATCTTCTGTTTCGAAAAATTACATTTGAACACTGGTTATTTTTAACTTATTTTGAACCGTGAGTTTTTTTCCTTTTCTCCCCACTAACACCATAGTTGTGGATTTAAACAAAATTAAGGTAAACCTTTTTTTTCTGTACTGATTTTTTTCACAGCAGATGTTTATGTTTGAGCATTCAGTGTTAGGTCTGCATTTGAAATGGAAGTGATCTTGTTTTAAAGCAATTGTTTTACAAGACTAGAGTTTTATTTTTAAATTATGGTTAATTTGTCTCTATTTGCAAGGATTTTATCCTCGCTTAATTGATGTACTCCTAAAAGGAGCTTTTATTTCTCTTCAATCAATTTCCCTTCTATTACCATGTCTTCTGATGCCTTTCGCTGCTTTCCATCCTGACAGTGGAAACTCATATGTTTTTTTTGTCTGAAAAATGTACGTTTCTGATGTTGCAGTACCATTTCCTGAACTCCTGGTGTCCAGGTCCATTGAGAACTGTGAGTGAGTTTTTACATTCTGAAATAAAATGATTGTACTCTACAGCCCCATGTTGCTGATCTATCTTGATCCACGTAATGTACAGAGAACATTGATTTTTTTTCTTTCCCCCCCAAAAAAAAAATTTGTGAATAAATGTAGAACTTTGTGTGGAATAACTTATTGTGTGAGGCCATAAATGGGTTCAAGAGATGCTTTGTCACGTAAAGTTCAAAGTATAAAACACAAGGTCACAGCCCATTACAATAAATCCTGTGAAGCTCTTTGAGATGTCCTGAGGTGAAATGTTATATCAAATGTAAGGATTATTATAGCAATGGGGAAGTTTTCAAATGTTTACTTAGCTTTTTGATCTACATAAATGACCTGGACTTGGGTATAGGGAGTACGGTTTCCAAGTTTGCAGGTGATACTAAGCTAGGAAAAGTAGTAAACGGTGAGGAGGATAATAGCAGACTTCAAGAGGACATACACAGACTGGTAAAATGGGCAGAATGTGGCAGATGAAGTTTAATGTGGAGAAATACGAAATGAAGCATTTTGGGAGGAAGAATGAGGAGAGGCAATATAAGCTGATGGTACAATCTTGAAGAGGGTGAAGGAACAGAGAGACCTGAGGATTCATATAAGTAAATCTTTGAAGGTGGCAGGAGAGGACAAAGCTGATAAAAAAGCATACAGTATACTAGACTTCATAAATGGAATACAAAAGTCAGAAAGTTATGATGAACCTTTATAAAACACTGCTTAGGCCACAGCTAAGCCCATTTTACCAGTCCGTCTGTGTTCAGTTCTGGGCACCACACTTCACAAAGGATATCTCAAGGCATTGGAGAGGGTGCCAAGGAGATTTACCAGGATGTTACCAGGAATGAGGGATTTCAGTTAGCAGGAGAGGCTAGAGAAGCTGGGATTATTCTCCTTGTAGCAGAGAAGGTTAAGAGGAGACTTAAGTGAAGTTTTCAAAATTATGAGGGGATTCAATAGGGTGAACAAGGAGAAGCTATTTCCACAGGCGGGTGGGTCGGTAACCCGAGGACACCGATTTAAAATAGTTGAAAGAAACGGGAGGTGAGTAGACATTTTTTCACACAGCGAGTTGTGGCAATGCATTGCCTGAAAGGGTGGTGAAAGCCGATTTGATAACAGCTTTTAAGAGAGAAGTAGATGATTATTTGGGGAGGACAAGTTTGCAGGGCTATGGGGAGAGAGCGAAGGAGTGGGTTTGGTTTGCATAGGTCTTTTCAAAGATCCAGCACAGACATGATGGGCCTAATGGCCTTCTTCTGTGCTGTATAATTCTACGATTCTATGTTTCACATAAGACGAAACATAAAATCCCAGCATAGCTTGAGTTGCCTCAACCCAGAACTGGCTCACCCTCTTGAAGATCTGAAAGCCACCAAAAGAAGAGGGAGGAACGAAGAGTTAGACGAGTAAGCCCAATCCTAATCACTCACTAAACTACTGTAAGGGCACAGTTTAAATGATAATTGTAATTTTGGAAGATCCTTTGCAGGTGCTCAGCCTACCATGAACTAAATGTAGGGCAAGAGAATAGGACTGGAGGAAAGTAGTGGTAGGGAGAGCAGATCGTGAAGATAATGATAATAAGCCTTCCATTTGGCCAGGACACTGGGAGAACACCCTTCTCGTTTCGAATAGTGCCATGGGAACATCCAGCTCAAGAGGCAGATGAGACCTCAGTTTAATGTCTCATCCAAAGATGGCACCTCTGAGAATACAAAACCCCACCCCTCTACCAGCACTGCATTTGAATGACAGCCTAGACTGAGTTCAGGTGCCTCTGACATGTTCAATGTTAATAGGTATTATGACAAACAAGAGGATTCCTATTGGTATTGGTCTGAGAGAAGCTCACTTCTTTGTTCTGTTGCGGAGGGAGCAGCGTAACATAGCAAGAGAAGAGGGAGAGAGAAAATGTCACTTAAACTGGCCAGGGTGTATATTGTGAATAAAATTTTACTTTTGGTTTGCCATTTACATTGAATCAATATTTAAAGAGTGCATTATCAGTGTGTGTGTCATTTTCAGTTTCACTTGTTAATGTCAAAAGCTGTAAACTTTTCAGAGAACATCAGGCCTCAGGAGCCTGAGTTGGTAGACTGTAGCCCAGGAGAGTGCCATCTCAGTCTGGTTTTGTAGAGGAAGTCTGACTGGGATGAGGACGCTGAGCTCGTTTAAAGAAACATAGCTTGATGCTATGATGGAAATTTTGGAACAAAGCCAGGAATAAATACCTTCATTACCTGCCACATCCTATTCTCTGACCTGGTCATTCCCTAACTCCTATGTTCACCCCCTCCACTCAGCTAACACAGGCTTGCTCCATATTCCAACCCACCCGCACTCCACCCCTTGCCACCATTGGTAACTAAATGTTCGGTCACTGCCCCCCAAACCTCTGGAACTCCCTAGCTGTAACCCTGCTCCTTGCACTCCTCTCTATCCATCTTTGCAGCTCATGCAGGGCTTTGCATTCACAATCCAGGCTGACTCCATTCCAGTGCTGGGGGAGCACTGCATTATCAGAGGTGCCCCATCTGCTTGTTCAAGTGGATGTTAAAGATTCTGTTGCATTATTCAAAAATAGGAAAGAAGTTTCTCATGGTTTCCTGGCTAACAATCCCCTGTCTGCTTTTTTGAGAGGGTTGTGTGTTTGCTCAGAGAGCGTGGGGGATTTCCAGCTGTGCTTTCCCCTTTAACTGAACTTTGGAAGCTGCAAAGGTGAAAGTGAAACAAGATTTTGTGATGTCAAAGCTCCTGAGTAACAACAACACTGCACCTTCTCACTTCCAGTTTCTGCTTCAATTTGAGGCAGAAGAGGATTTGATACAGGAAAAGACTTAAGGGTGAGTGAAAGAGACTGCCAACAACTTGCATAGCTCGACTATCCCAACGCCTTGCTCGTCAGCCTTCCCAACTCTTCCCTCCACAAGGCACAGCTCATCCAGAACTCTGAGGCTCGTGTCCTCTCCCACACCCGGCTCTGTGACCCAATCACACGCAGCCTTGCCCAGCTCCACTGGCTCCCCGTGCCTCAGAGGATCAAGTTAAATATTCTCGTCCCCCCTTACCTTCAAGGCCCTCCATGGTCTTGCCCCCTTCTACTTCTCCGACCTCCTAACCCCTTATCAACCTGCCCGCTCCCTCTGCTCAGCAGGCTCTGGTCTGCTCCACGTCCTCCGTCTGACCTGCCCCACCATCAGCGCTTGGGCCATCAACCTCTCTGCCCCCACTCTCTGGAGCTCTATTCCACATTCCCTTTGGGTCGTTCTCTCCCTTGCCTCCTTCAAGGCACACCTCAAGACTCTCCTCTTCGACTGTAACTTTGCCACCCTCTCTGCCCTCCACCCTGCCTGATCTCGACTCCGCCCCCCAGCCCCGCTTGGGTCCTAATCCCCTCACCGTTCAGCGTTTTGGGACGTCCTCCCGATGTGAAAGGCGCTTTACAAATGTAATTTAGTTTTGTATTGTATAGCGTCTCTCATGTGGAGTAGTGTGACAGAGGTGGAGGAAAGCGGTCTTGGTTAGGGACCAGATGTGCGGTAGAAAGGACGATTGAAGATTGAACCTGACACCTACATTAAGTACAGGTTCAATAAGTCTGAGGTTGGAGCCGCAGGTGAGAAGACATTTATGGGAGCCAAAAAGTATTCGGGCTATTCGGACCGTCATATCTGGGCTGGCTCTTTAAAAGAGCAACCCACCTAGTCCTATAATTGAGACTTTACACCAAGGTCCCTTCTATACCTGCTCAGGTGGATATTAAAGGTACTGTGTTACTATTTCTGCTCGGCAATGCCCTGGATAATATCAATCATTTAACTTTATGGCTATTTGTGGAACATTGCTATGCACAAATTGGCTGCCACATTCGTCCACAAAACACAAAGTGACTCCACTTACGCAAGTAAATATCCAATTTGAAATGTTCTGATGATATGATAAGGTGGTGTATCCGATGCAAAGATCATTATTTGGATCCTTTTTAGTCAAGAGAAGAAGATGACTGATCGTACAATGGAAGTGAATGAAGGATCGGCATGCGGCAGCTCAAAATCTGTGACCATTTTCATTAATTCACCAAATGAATGTCAGGTAAGAGTGTTGACCAGCGAAGTCTAAGCTCATACTCTAATGCACCATTGGGAGTGTGTTGCATTGTCAGAGGTGCCATCCTTCAGATGAGACGTTAAATCGAGGCTCTGTCTGCCTGTTCAGGTGGATGTTAAAGATCCCATGGCATTATTCAAAAAGAGAAGGGAGTTTCTCCCAAGGTCCTGGCCAACAATACCCCAAATAAAATTGGTCACTTGATTCATGGCTGTTTGTGGGACACAGCTATGCGCAATTGTGCTGCCACGTTTGCTTACAAATATGGGAGTGGAATCGCTGCAGGTGGAAGGCCAGAGAGAGACGAGGTCCAAGGATAAAAGGACATTTGTGAGGGACTTGTGTGGAAGATTTTTCCACGGGCAGAATAGAATGGAAGAGGGCTTGGAGGAGGGGAGAGAGATGCAAGAGGACAGGGAGATGAGGAAATGGCCAGAGATGGCCTTGTCTGTGATGGACAGATCGGAGATGTCAAGACTGCACCCTGCTTACCTAATATCCAGAGAGGATTAGGCCTCTTAGTATTAAATTGTCTCAAAATAGCAAGTCTCTTTGGGTTCAACCCCTGCTCGGGTCTAAATCCCTGACTGTCAAACGCCTTGGGACATCCTCCTGGTGTGAAAGGTGCTATACAAATGGAAGTTGTTGTTGTTGTTTCAGGGTGCTGGAAACAAAACCAAGCATACTGTGCAAATTAACCTGACTGCTACTGGGAAAGATCTGAGAGCAAGGTAGAGTATTTTAAACAAGATGAATTTAAGGCTAATGTGAAAATATGGTCACCCTACCTGACACATTTTTTACATCAAAACAGCAGTGTTGGTGGTGGGCTGCATTGTCAGGAGTGCTGTCCTTCAGATGACATGTTAAACCCAGGACTGGTCTGTGCCTGTTCAGGTGGACATTAAAGATCCAGTGGCACACCCGAAAAGAGAGAGAATTTCTCCAGGTGTCCTCGTCAACAATCCTTCAAATAAACAATAATTTGTCATTCACTTCCCGGCTGTCTGTGGGACATTGTTAATTGGCAATACACAGTCAATAAACTTTACAGTAGAATCCTGTCAAGTGCTTTTGAGTTGTCTCAATAATAATACTTGCATTTGATATTGCGCCTTATCAGGTCTTCGAGACGTCTCAAAGTGCTTCACAGGATATACTGTAAAGTGAACTGACTATATTTTGTGGGCCTCAATGACGTAATAAGGCACTATATCAAACTCAAGGATGATTATTATTAAAAATAGTGAAGTACGATTCACCATATCTTTCATTGCATATGCTGGTTTAGATATTATGTCTTAATTTGTCCCATTAATTTTCAGAGTCTCGGATTTGGTTAAGATAGAACAAGAATGCATTGAGCTGATATACTGCGGCAGGAATCTTGATATGGGTAAGTACTCCAGATCCCAGACTCTGTGATCTGTGTACCCTGCTTGGGTAGTTTCGTAAGTCTCACATTTAGTATCAGTGTTGTACAATCTGCATTGATGATTTTTTTTGGCATTAAACAACAACAATTTGCATTGATACAGTGCCCTTCATGTGGGATAACATCTTACAGCGCACTTTCATTTTATCCTTCGTGAAGGGCTCTATATAAATGCAAGTTGGTGTTGCTGTTGTTTATTTTGGTCAGCCGGGTGTCTGAGACACACAGCCATGGAATGAATGACTAATTTTATTTAGAATCAGAATATTACAACACAGGAGTCTATTCCCCCGCTTGTTCCTCATACCCCTTGTCAAGCACCTATCTAATTGCAGTGCATTCCAGACCATAACAACTCCCGGTGTAAAATAATTCTCCTCATCTTCTGTCTGGTTCTTTTGCCAATTATCTTAAATATATGGCCCTGGTCATGACCCACCGGCCAGTGGAAACAGTTTCTCCCTATCTACTCTATCAAAACCCCTCATAATTTTGAACACCTCTATTAAATCTCTCCTTAACCTTCTCTGTTCTAAGGAGAACAATTCCAGCTTCTCCAGTCTCTCACATAACTAAAGTTCTTCATCCATAGTACCATTCTGGTAAATCTTCTCTGCATTCTCTTCAAAGCTTTGATATTCTTCCTAAAGTGTGTTACCCAGAATTGGACACAGTATTCCAGTTGAGGCCTAACAAGGTTCAGCAGAACTTGCTTGCTTTTGTACTCTGTGTCTCTATTTATAAAGCTAAGGATTCCATAAACATTTTTAACAGCTCTGTCATCCTGTCCTGCCACATTCAAAGACCTGTGTATGTGAACCCCCAGGTCTCTCTGCTCCTGTACCCCTTTAAAACTGTACCATTTATTGCCTTTCCAAATTGCATCACCTCACAATTCTCTGCATTAAACTTCATCTGCCATGTGTCTGCCCATTTTACCAGCTTGTCTATGTCTTCCTGCAGTCTGCTACCATCCTCCTCACTGTTTACTATATTCCCAAGTTTTGTGTCATCTGCAGACTTTCACATTTTGCTCTCTATGCCCAAGTCCAAGTCATTCACAGATATCAAAAAGAGCAGTGGATCTAATATCGACCCCTGGGGGACACTCCTGTATACTTCCCTCCAGTCTGAAAAACAACCATTCACCGCTACCCTCTACTTTCTCCCAGCCAATTTTCTATCCATGCTGCCACTGTCCCTTGTATCCCGTAGCTTCAATTTTGCTAACTAGTCTATTACGTGGCACCTTATCAAACGCCTTCTGAAGGTCCATATACACAACATCAACTCCACTACCTATTTGGGGGATTGATGGCCAGGACACTGGAAGAAACTCCCTTCTCTGTTCAAATGGTGCCACAGGATCTTTAATGTCCACTTGAACAGGCGGATCTCAGTTTAACGTCTCATCCAAAGGACGGCACCTTTGTCAATGCAATGCAACTCTAGCACTGCACTGGAATATCAGTTTAGACTGTGTGAGTTCAAGTCTCAACCTGAATGCTACCTCTGAGTCAGGCTGACACACATGTCACCTTGGAGTCAGTTCAGTTCCAAGGAGACCTCACTTAACTCTCCCCGAAGGAGGATAGTCCCTAGTTAGTCATTTTACATCCAACAAGCGTGGATTTGAGGTGGATGTCACGTACCAGAAACTCCCCGCGAGCTTCCTGGTGAACTCAGCATGATATGCGTGAGAGCATTGCCACCATCTTCCTGCCCACAGGACGGACACAGAGTTTAACCAGCTAAAGCTGCATAGCTTGCCATTGTCGAACTAGGGCCAGCCAACCCGTTTGGACTTTGCCTTTGAGGGTGAAAAGGAGCTGAATGAGAAGAATCCCTACTCTGTGTGACCAATCTTCCCCTCCAAGTCCTACTGACGAGCCAGGCTGATCTGATGTGTCATCAGTGGGCCCTGAGTTCCTCATGAGTGGAGAGGGGGAATGGAATGAGTTTAGTGCAGCACCTGTATTTGTGATTTGTTTTCTCAGAAAAACCTCTGTCGGAACAGAAAATAGTCGACAAAGCAAGAGTTCGGGTGAAAAAGATAGACATGAAAGCAAGAGAGGAGGAGCGCTGCCTGTCCAGGATAAAGAAAGGAGCAGATCTACTGGTTCAGCGAGGTCAGTGGTCAGGTAACCTCTGCTAGTACAGGCCATATTTGGATACTGGACAAGCACAGGATTGGACTCGGTTGTGGTGTCCTCACAAATAGTGGAATCCTGTAGCATATTGGTTAGAGCACCACCTCACAAGTGAGAGGCCTCATGTTCGAATTCTAGGCAGGGAGAAGCCTTAGGCAAGTTTCCTTACTCCATACGCCTCTGTTCACCCAGCAGGAAGTAGGAACCTGGTTGTTAGTCGATTGATGGATCGCTTTCCGGGGGTAATAACAAACATTCGTGGATTGAGTGACCAAATGATTTACTTATTTATTTATGAAGGGATTATTACCCTTGAAAAGGTTAACTAAGGTTTCGCCCGGCCAGGAAATCGAAACCAGATACTCTCACTTGCGAGGCGAGTGTTCTTGCTGTTGATGATTTCTTTGGTTTTGTTTCCAGGTGAAAATTTTGAAAAGACCTATTTAAAAATTACAAATGAGAAATTGGAAGTTGTTGAGGTCCCAGAAAAAGAGCGGGTGGTGAGTATTGACCCGAACTTCAGTTGAAATTGTTTTTTTTTTGTGCCTCCAGATCCGTACAAGATCGCTTAAGCTGAAAAATCAGCCCCTCATTCTCTCCCACTCATTGCTCTGACTCTGAGGTGACAGTGTGCCGGGCTGACACACACTCTGAGCCGGGCTGACGCACACTCTGAGCCGGGCTGACGCACACACTGAGCCGGGCTGACGCACACTCTGAGCCGGGCTGACGCACACTCTGAGCCGGGCTGACGCACACACTGAGCCGGGCTGACGCACACTCTGAGCCGGGCTGACGCACACTCTGAGCCGGGCTGACGCACACACTGAGCCGGGCTGACGCACACACTGAGCCGGGCTGACGCACACTCTAAGCCGGGCTGACGCACACTCTGAGCCGGGCTGACGCACACTCTGAGCCGGGCTGACGCACACTCTGAGCCGGGCTGACGCACACTCTGAGCCGGGCTGACGCACACCTGAGCCGGGCTGACGCACACTCTGAGCCGGGCTGACGCACACTCTGAGCCGGGCTGACGCACACTCTGAGCCGGGCTGACGCACACTCTGAGCCGGGCTGACGCACACTCTGAGCCGGGCTGACGCACACTCTGAGCCGGGCTGACGCACACTCTGAGCCGGGCTGACGCACACTCTGAGCCGGGCTGACGCACACTCTGAGCCGGGCTGACGCACACTCTGAGCCGGGCTGACGCACACTCTGAGCCGGGCTGACGCACACTCTGAGCCGGGCTGACGCACACTCTGAGCCGGGCTGACGCACACTCTGAGCCGGGCTGACGCACACTCTGAGCCGGGCTGACGCACACTCTGAGCCGGGCTGACGCACACTCTGAGCCGGCCTGACGCACACTCTGAGCCGGCCTGACGCACACTCTGAGCCGGCCTGACGCACACTCTGAGCCGGCCTGACGCACACTCTGAGCCGGCCTGACGCACACACGGAGCCGGCCTGACGCACACACGGAGCCGGCCTGACGCACACACGGAGCCGGCCTGACGCACACACGGAGCCGGCCTGACGCACACACGGAGCCGGCCTGACGCACATAAACTTGCCCAAGATTTCGCCCCGTCCAGGAATCGAACCTGGTTCCTCTTGCTTGTAAAGAGAGAGTTCTAATTCTACGTGACGGAACTCCACAACTTTGCAGTCATTCTGTGGGACGCCTATCTCTGTGGGGAGACATTCTTGATGTGATAGATGCTTTGCCAAATGCAAGAATTATAAATATTGTAACAACAACAATTTGCATTTATATAGCGCCCTTCCTGCCAGTCGGGGTCTCGGAGCACTTATAGCTGCCATTTCTCTTTAATTGATTGTTTTTGTTTGGTTCTTGCACAGGCCATTTTAACAGCCTTGGTTCTGCACGAAACAGCCCGAGATTACATGAAGCCGGAGAAGCAGGACTGGACCAGAGCCCTGAAATTTTTGAAGTTTGCAGAGGAAGCATTTGGGTAATAATAATAATAATATAATAATAATCCTTGCATTTGATATAGCGCTTTTCACGTCAGGAGGACGTCCCAAAGCGCTTCACAGAACACACTGTAAAGTGAATTGACTGTATATTTGTGGGCGAACGCGGCAGCCAATTGCGCACAGCAGTGTCCCACAAACAGTCGTAGATTGAAAATGACCAATTTTTTATTATTGTTTTTTGTTTTTGGAGGGATTATTATTAGGCTCTGTGTGGAGTAAGGAAACTTGCCCAAGGTTTCGCCCTCTGCCTGGAATTGAACCCTGGTCTCTCGCTTGCAAAGCGAGTGCTCTAACCACTGAGCTACAGGACTCCATGTAATGTTGGAGCCATAGGAACATAAGAACAGGAATAGACCATTCAGCCCTTCAATCCTGTTCCACCATTTAACTAGATCATGGCTGATCTGTACCTCAACTAATCCTTTCAATTCCAATTTCTCACTTTCTCCGCATGTCCCTTAATATCCTGACCCACCAAAGATCTATCAACCTCACTATTGAAGGTGTGGATGGATCCAGCATCCATGGCCTTTTGGGGGAGAGAATTCCAGATTCCTACCACCCTTTGAGTGAAAAAAATGCTTCCTGATTTCACTCTTAAATAGTATGGTTCTAATTTTAAGACTATTCCCCCTTGTTTTGGATTCCCGAACCAGAGGAAATAGATTCTCTGTACCTATCAAATCCCTTTATCATCTTAAATACCTCAATCAAATCACCCCTCAACCTTCTAAGCTCAAGGGGATACAATCCAAGTTTACACAGCCTTTCCTCGTAACTTAACCCCTTTAGGCCTGGTAACATTCTAGTGAACCTGTGCTGCACCCCCTCCAGAACCAATATATCTTTCCTGAGGTGTGATACCCAAACCTGAACGCAGTCTTCAGATGTGATCTGACTAACGCTCTATACAACTGAATCATTTCTTCCCTTTTGTATTCCAGGCCCCTTGAGGTAAAGGCCAACATTCCATTCACCTTTTTGATTACTTTTTGCACTTGGGAACTAGTTTTTAGTGATTTGTGGATATGGACACCCAAATCTCTTTGCTCCTCCACAGTTCTTAATTTCTCCCCATCAAAAAAAATTCTGCTATATCTTTTTTCGGTCCATAGTGGATGAGCTCACAGTTTCCCTACATGTGATAAGGTGCTACATCAAATGCAAGGATTATCATTATTATCACCTTTATAATTATTATAAACAAGGCTCCATCTGCCTGTTCATGTCAATATTAAAGATCCCAAGGCACTACTCCAAAAGAGAAGGGAGTTTCTCTTGGTGTCCTGGCCAACAATCCCACAGATAAACTTGGTCGTCAACTTCACGGCTGTTTGTGGGATGTGGCTGTGCACAAATTGGCTCATGTGTTCACCAATAAAATGCACAATCACTACGGTTTACAGTAAATCCTGTGAAGCACTTTGGGACGTCCGACCGACGTTCAACGCATACTGTATGGATTGTTATGATTACTATTATTATTGTGTAAAACATGCAGTCAGATCGCAGGCAGAAGAAGCTGTCCCTTCAGACAGTAGCAGGAAGATTGGCCATGTGTTGGTTGGACAGGTTCTATTAGGTTTCTTTTCACGCATTGCCTCTTTTCACAGTGAGTGCAATCAGGACTATATCAAATACATCGATAATAATGGAGTCCTCAATCTAGACGTACTTTGGTGTTACATGAAGCTGGAGAAACAACCTTCCCTTGAAGAAGCAAACAAAAGATTGGAAAATGCTGAGATGTACCTGAAAAATACCTTTGAGAAAAACACGGAGTCAGATCAGGAACATGAGGTCAGTTATTGTTATGAGCAAGGAGGCATTGACTCGCTTAGTTCGGTGGCTTCTGCACAATATTGGGGCTGGAAAAGTGCTAATTTAAGTGCCGCATGAAGAATGTTATATAAATAATAATCCTTGCATTTGATACAGCACCTTATCACGTTGTTGAAACATCTCAAAGCGCTTCACAGAATATCATGTAAAATGGGTTGACTGCATATTTTGTGGATGAAGTGCAGCAGCCAATTGCACAAAGCTGTCCCAACAAATAGTCGTGGATTGGGTGACCAAATTATAATTTAGAGTAGGGATTATTGCCCCCAATGAGATCTGTCAATCGAGTAACAACCAGGTTCCTAATTACTGCTAGATAAACATAAGCGTGTGGAATAAGGAAACTTGTCTAAGGTTTTGCCGCACCTGGGAATCAAACCTGGGTCCTCTCGCTTATGAGACAAGTGCTCTGAGCATTATGCTGCAGGATTCCGTAAATGCAAGTTGTTGTTGTCAGGCCAGCTTGAGCATAAAGGTGACTTCAAAGCTGGGTGCTGTCTCGATCCTCTAGTGAACTAATCATTGGGCAAACAAAAGGCTCTTCAAAAAGAGACATCTCTGAGGGGACCTTATAGAGGTGTATACGATTTTAATGGGTTTGAGAAAGTAAACCCAGAACAATACTTTTGGATGTGCTGAGGCATCAGAACAGATACCAGGAAGTGTTATTTTACCCAGAAGTTCATTAACAACTGGAATGGGGTTATCAGGAAGGGTGGTTGAGGCCAGAATACTGGGACCCATTTAAGATACTGTAATGGGAGGAATGTGAGCATGGATATCAAATGAGCCAAAGGCCTTCTTCATCCAAACCATTCTTGGGATAAATTGGGCTTTAGCTTTGTTGTTCATAAATTGACTGCCTACAAAATTTCACAGTTCCTAAACTTGTCAGCAATTACCAATGCAGCATTTTGAGACATTTTGACATTAGTGCCGCTGTTTCAAATGCCAGAGTAATTTATTATATTATAAAAGTGTCTCCTCCTGGGACCCTCAATTTTGCTGCACTTCAAGAGACTGGCTCTGACCTGAGATCAACTCAAAATTCCAGCTTGACTAACATCAGGTCTAATGCATGAGAATCACTTTATGCCCCAACCTGTCTTTTCAAAGGCACTATTAATCCGTACAAACGTTTATTCAACTTTACAGTCTCCCTTAGATGTCAGTTTTGCTCAATAGTTAGCACTCTCACCTCTGAATCAGAAGGTTGTGGGTTCAAGCCCTACGTCGGTACTTCAGCCCTAAACACAGAGACGGCGCTTGTCAAACTCACAAATGACGTCCTCTTTCTCTATGACTAGGGCTCCCTCTGCCTCCTGGTCCTGGACCTCTCGGCCACGTTTGACACATTTAACCACGACATCCTTATCCACTGCATCTCCTTCCTCATCTACTTCAGTGGGACCGCATGAGCCTGATTCGAGTCCAACCTAACAAACTGCCTTCACTTCAACGGTTTCCCTCCCACCCCACCTGGTCACTTGTGGTGTACTCCAGGGCTGCATCCTTGCCCCCCTCCTCTTCCTCATCTATATGCTCCCTCTTGGCGATGTCATCCGCAGACATGGGGTAAACTTCCACACGTTTGCAGATGACACACAAATCTACTTCTCTTCCTCCAGCTGCGAATCCAGGTCCGCCGATGTTCTCTCTGCTTGTCTGGCGGACATCAGGGCCTGGATAAACGAAAATTTCCTGCAGCTGAATGTGGACAAGACGGAAGCCACACTCATTTGCTCCAGTCAACATCTTCTATTCTGTGCCTCTGACCTCCTCAATCTCCCCGGCCTATCCCTCAGACTTACCGAACCAGTGCGCAACCTAGGCATCAGATCTTCCCCACATCCGGTCCCTGACCAGCCCCACCTTGCTCCACTTCCTCACATTGCCCACCTCCGACCATACCTAACCCCAGACGCAGCAGAAGCACTCGTCCATGCGATCGTCACCTCCTGGCTCAACTTTTCAAATACCCTCTCCCCAGCTCCACCATGCCCAGGATCCAGCGGATCCAAAACTCCGTCGCCTGCATACTCATCCGCACTAAACTCCGTACCCCCCATCATACCAATTCCAGCCAGGCTTCACTGGCTCCCTATCGCTGAACATATCGATTTCAAGATCCTCACATTTGTTTTCAAATCCCTTTATACCCTGGCACCTCCCTCCCTCTACAACCTGTTTCCCCCCCACCCCATCCCACAATCCACTGCCTCCACTCGACTGGCTCTGGTTTTCTGCATGTCCCTTGCGCCCTCCGTTCCACCATTGGTGGCTGCACTTTCAGCCACTACGCCCCAAAACTCTGGAACACTCTCCCTCTATCCCTTCGCCTTGCCCCTTCTTTCCCCATCTTCAGGTCAAGCCTGAAGACCTTCCTATTCGACTGTGCCTACAGTCACCTCCCCCTCCCCCGGCTTCGCATCATGCTCCGCCCCTGTCAAGCTCTCTGGAACGCTACCCTGTGTGAGGGGCGCTATACAAATGTAAATTGTTGTTAAGCTCAGTCGAGGCTGACACTCCAGCTGGGGAGAATGCTGCATTGTCAGAGATGCCGTCCTTTGGATGAGACATTAAAGCCTGTTTTGGCGGACATTAACACTACCATGGCGCTATTCAAAAGGAGAAGGAAATTTCTCTGGTGTACAGACCAACAATCCCCCAAATAATTTAGTCATTCACTTGATGAATGTTTGTAGGATATTGCAGTGTGCAAATTGCCTGCCACGTTTGTCTGCAAAAAAAATACATGTCACTACACTTTACAGGAAATCCTGCAAAACGTTTTGAGTCATCCACCCAAGGGTCTATATCAAATGCATGTATAATTTGAATTATATTTTTGCTTGACTGTTTTACTCTCTCAAATTATTTCCCTTTTCAAGCAGGAAAACAGTGTGAGAAAGAAGATACTGTTCTTGCAAGTGCACATTCTCTGGGGAGTGCTGTTCTCCTACAGGAGCATGAAGAAGGAAGCTCTTGATAATTTCCATAAGGTACAGGGGGTCAACAACAGCAACTTGCATTTGTATAGCGCCCTTCACACGGGTAGCATTTCAATGCGCTTATCAATTTAATCAGTCTATCATTTGCGTAGAAAAAAGGCTTCCTACGTTAGGACTGAATTTAGGAATTTTACAAAATTCTGCACGTTCTTGAATTTTAAGATCAAACAGTTAAAACAACAACAAATTGCATTTGTATGGAACTTTCCAAAGCTCCAGACAATCAAGAATGTGCACACAAGCTGGGGGTTGGGATCAAGGGGAAGGAGGGCAGGGAGGATGCGAGTTGGAGGGTGACCTAAGATGCAATCGAAGAGGAAGGTCTTGATACAGGCCTTCAAGGAGGCAAGGGAAGGACGAGGCAAAGGAACTGTGGGATGGAGTTCGAAAGGGTGGGGGCAGAGAGGCTGAAGGCCCTACTGCTTATGGTGGGGCCAGGTGGGAGACATGGAGCAGGCTGGAGCCCCCTGACTGGAGGGATGGACAGGTCACATAGGAGGAGCAAGGCTGTGGATGGCTTTGAAAGCGATATAGCGCCTTTCACGTGGATAGCGTCTCAATGTACTTATCAATTCAGTCAGTCAACCAATTGTGTGTAAAAAAGTTTCCTAAATTAGGACTGTATTTAAGAATTTTACAAAATTCTGCACGTTCTTCAATTTTAAGATTAAATACTTACATAGGGTAATGTGGCACGGAAAACAGGCCATTCAGTCCACTTAGGTGTTCATACTCCACACTAGGCCCTCATCACTCCTATTCCTCTCTGCAGTATTACAGAACAATTTACAATACAATTTATACTTGCATAAACACCTTTCAGGTCGGGAGGACATCCCAGGGCACTTAGTAGGGGCTAGGTCCCAGAGCTGATGTTTTCTCTTAAATAGTCTTACAGGCTAAGACCATGTGGAATTTCAGGCTTGTAAGGGCCTCTAAATCTATGATAAGGCCACAAACCAAACATTACTTTAAAACTATCTCTACCGAATTCATATATCTGTCCACTTCATGGTGAATCAGGATTTTTTTTTGTTTCTCTTTTGCATGGAATATCCACAAGATACCACTATGGTCAACATTCATTGTATTAGCTTCAGATCATTATTTCAATGAGCCTTCAGCCTATCTGTCCTCACTCTCTGTCACCCCATTCCAGAGTCCCTCCAACTCGCTCCTTCCCCTTGTTCAAGATCCATTGCAAGACTTGCCTCTCTGACCGCCTTTTGATCATTTTGCCTCTCACCACCCCCTTGGCTTTGACCCCAGCTTGCGTGCCAAGCCAGTATTGTTAAGCGTCTTGGGACACCCTCCCAAAGTGAAAGGCACTGTATAAATGGAAATGGTATTGCATTGTATCATCCTCTGCTATCACAACAATAAACAACAAGTTGCCTTTATAAAGCGCCCTTTGCATGTGTTAGCCTGGCTCAGTTGGTAGCACTCTTGCCTCTGAGTCAGAAGTTTGTGGGTTCAAGTCCTAAATCGGGATTTGGAAGCACATAGAATCATAGAATTATACAGCACAGAAGGAGGCCATTCGGCCATCATGTCTGTGCCGCCTTTTTGAAAAGAGCTACCAAATCAATCCCACTCCCTCACTCTCTCCCCATAGCCCTAGATGACACTCCAATGCAATGCTGGGGGCGCATTGCATTGTCATCCTTTAGATGAGATGTTAAACCAAGGTCCCTGTCTGCCTGTTCAGCTGAATGTTAAAGATCCCATGGCACTATTCGAAAAGAGAAGGGAGTTTCTCCCAGTGTCCTGGCCAACAATCCCCCAAATAAAATTATCATTTGTTTTACGGCTGTTTGTGGGACATTGCTGTGTGCAATCGGCTGCTGCATTCGCCTAGAAATAAACAGTCACTCCACTTTACAGTAATTCCTGTGAAAACACTTTGGAAAATCCTCACGACACAAAAGGTGGTATACTAATTGCAAGGATTATTATTATTTATTAATATTGTCTTTAGGACTTTCAGCTTACAGTCCAGACTGCCATTCAAACACAATACTTTCTTTCCCTCTAACACTCTGTCTCATCCTCTTTGTGTCTTTAACTCGTACCTCTTGAACTGTGCCTATGGCCACCTCCCTCCCCCATTTCCCTTGCTCAGGATAAAACCCCATCCCTGTGAAGTGCTCCAAGACATGAAGGACCCTGTATACATGCAAGTTGTTGTTGGTGTTGCATTGTTTGGATCAGACATTAAACCAATCTGCCTGTTCAGCTGGATGTTAAAGATCCTGTGGCATTGTTCGAAAGGGATTTCTCCCAAGATCCTGGCCAACAATCCACCAGATAAAATGCATCACTCAGTCCATGCCTATTTATGGGACAGTGCTGTGAACTTGGGACATTTGGAGTCCTGTAGCTCAGTGGTTAGAGCACCGCTTTGCAAGTGAGAGACCTGAGTTCAATTCCAGGCAGAGGGTGAAACCTTGGCCAAGTTTCCTTACTCCACACAGAGCCTAATAATAATCCCTCCAAAACAAAAACAATAATAAATTGGTCATTTTCAATCAACGACTGTTTGTGGGACATTGCTGTGCGCAATTGGCTGCCGCGTTCGTCCACAAATATACAGTCAATTCACTTTACAGTGTGTTCTGTGAAGCGCTTTGGGACGTCCTCCCGACGTGAAAAGCGCTATATCATATGCAAGGATTATTATTATTATTATTTGCCTACAAAGTGCCCAGTCGCAGTAAAAATCCTGTGAAATGATTTGAGGCGTCCTACCTCCTGCCCAATGTGAAAAGCACCGTATCAAACGTAAGGATTATTGTTCATAAAGAAAAATACTGCAGATGCTGGAAATCTGAAAAACAAAGTAGAAGTCGCTGAGAACACTCAGCAGGTCAGGCTGCCTGAATATCTCCAGCGACTTCTGCTTTTGTAAGGATTATTGTCGTTAACACAGGCAGAGAAGTTGTGTGACGAGCTTCGGTTGGATGACTGCGACTTTGCCCAACTCAGGCATGGAGGGCTGACACGTCAGGAGGCTCGGCTGGGTTTGCGAGCCTGTGGCGGTGACCTGGGGAAAGCTAGAGAGTTTATTCAGCAAAGGAGACAGGTAACTATGTAAATAAGTAAGAGCAAAAATTGGAGCTGAGATCTGGAGAAAGTGAGACAGAGTCTGACACCAACCGTGGACCCAGCACCAGAAAGGTAAACCATTGCACCAAGCTCAGAATCTGTGGTGGTTCTCGGTAGTCCAGTTCCTGGGTCAGGCAGGTCTGCAGTAATCCAGGCATTGCTGATGACAGCCATTGAGATGGGATGGGTAGACTGGAAGGATGAGGTAAAATGGGTCGAAGGCCCTTGTTCATTCGATCCGATCCTATGTTCTTGTGAATTGGCTGTTCCCACTGTTTGTGAAAAGCAAGTCATGCAAGCATGCCAGAAGGGAATGTGAATCAGTGTTTACACACACACAACTGCCAGCTCCGTGCACCACGACCCGGCTGGGAACACAATGTAATTCTCTTTTGCAGGTGATGCAGGCAAACTGCGGTAGGTCTTACACCAGCTCTGGACCATCGGTGACCTTTTGTAGCACACTGTGCAGGAACTCAATTTGTTCCCAGTGAGAGGTTGGCCTCTGACCATCCTCCCCTCCCTCACCCACCCAACTACAATAAAATACAATACAATTTGCATTTAATATTGCACCTTGCACGTCAGGGAGGACATTCACAGTGCTTGGCAATGCTGAGCTGGGAATGGGGTGCAGTGGCGAGGGGAGTGATTGAAATTTCGGTCAGAGATAGGAACATAGGAATTGCTAGATGAAAAAAGACAGAGGTCCATCTCATTCACCTTCTACCTGCTGTTATGCTACAATACCTTTGATGGAGGGGAGAGAGCAAAGAGGAAAGAGGAGACTTGATAAGGAGGCCAACCAGTCTCACTCCCCCGCTCTTTACCCACAGCCCTGCAATTTTTTTCCTTTTCAAGTATATATCCAGTTCCCTTTTGAAAGTTATTATTGAATCTGCTTCCACCACCGTTTCAGGCAGTGCATTCCAGATCGTAACAACTCTCCGAGTAAAATAATTTTTCCTCATCTCCCCTGGTTATTTTACTAATCTCTAGAAAGCACATCCCTTTCAATTAGGTAATGCTGAGTTTCTGGTCTTAAACAGCGAATTGAACAGCAAAGACTGGATTCTTACAAAGGCAAAAGAGACCGTACTGAGGTGATGGACGTGGGTGATTCAGAACATACAGCATCTCAGACCTTGCAACCTAACCAGGCCACACAGGTAAACAGAGCGCAAATACTTTAACATGATGAGGCTCCCGCTGCACCACTTCTAGCCCCCACAGCCTCCTGCAGGCTGACAACGCCCCACTAAACCCGCCGCCTGTCATCTCAGTGTGCACATTTTGGCTGCCTCCCCGACCCGAGCTGGCTCTCCCTCAAAATGCCCCCCTCCCTGCAACTCTCCCGCACTGTCCGGCTCTCTCTCCGCCCTCCCCTCCTCCTATCTCTACTTGACCCCCCCACTGCCTCCCTCTGCTCCAGCCTGGGAATCCTCCGCTGGGCTCATCATGGCACTCAGCGTTGGCTGTCCAGCAGCAGTCACACCGACTGCCTCATTCCCCACTACCGCCCCAAGTCACCCCGGGGGCTAACCTCTCCTTCCTCATCCGCATCCCCACCCTCCCTGCCAACCAATCCACTACCCCCTCCCATCCCTGCCAACTGTCCACTGTGCATTAGCCTTCAAAACATCCGCTCTATCTCTAACAAGACCCTGGCCATCAATGAACTCATCCTCGATGAGAACACTGACATTATGGCCCTCACTGAAACCTGGAGCACCCCAGGTGACACCTTCCCCTTCACTGAGGCCACACCACCTGACTACACCTACCACCATGCCCCACGCCCCAACCATCGTGGCGGCAGGGTGGCCCTCATCTCCAGGGTGTCACTTGCCCTATCCCGCTACTCCACCGGTTCATTACCCCCTTTCAAAACCTTACTCTCTGCCCTCCCTCCCACCTCTCTCCAAAAATCCTCTTACTTTACCGCTCCCCAAAATCCTCCCCCACCTTCATCTCTGACATCTCCATCCTCCTTGCTTCTGCTCCGACCGCCTCATCATCCTAGGCAACTTCAACCTCCATTTCACCCCTTCCTGCTCCATCTTCCTCAGACTTCTCCTTTCTCAACCTTTCCCTCCACATCCACTCTGCTACCCACACCCAAGGTCACCCGCTTGACCTGGTGATCACCCAGGGCCTCAGTGTCTCAGATGTCACGATCACTGACAAGGTCATCTCTGACCACCATTTCATCTCTCTCAACTCCCATATTCCTCTCCCCACTGCCTCCAAACCTACCACCATCTTCTACCGCCCGTGGAAGAAGATCTCCCTGCAGTTCCTCTCCGCTGCCCTGGAATCCTCTGAACTCCTCCCCCTCTGGCCCACCTCTCGCACCAACCCACTCACTGTGCTCACTCTTCTCCACAGCACCGTCTCCACCACACTCGATGCCCTTGCCCCCCTCACCTCCTGAACTGCTTCCTATTCCTGATCCTCACCCTGGTTCACCAGCCGCCTCCGCTCTCTTAAGAGTCAGGTGTGGGCTGCCGAATGCACTTGGCTCAAATACGGCCTTACGGTCCACCGCCGTATCTGGTTGGACCTCATCAAAACCTACCATTCCACTCTCGCCTCGGCCAAATCATCCTTCTATTCCAGGTTAATCCTGGAGGCGAAGGGCAACCCCAGGCTCCTGTTCTCCATCATCAACCGGCTCCTCCGCCCACCCCACTACGCCTCGCAGATTCTTTCCTCTGACTCTCACTGCGAGAAAATGCTGGACTTCCTCAACAACAAAATCAAGGGAATCCGCTCAGCTGCCACTGCCCTCCCTACTTCCACCCCCTCCCTACCCCCACCCCACACAATTACCCATCCAACAATTACCCATCCTTCCTTCCACACCTTTGAACCTGTCAACCTCTCCTCTGTCTTCACCACCATAACCTCCATGAAGCCCACCACCTGCTCCCTGGACCCCATCCCCACCCTTCTCCTTAAATCTCAGCTCTGCCTCCTTGCCCCACTACCTGCCGATATCATTAACCTCTCCCTGTCATCTGGCACTGTTCCTTCCCCCCTCAAAACAGCCATTATCACCCCCACAATGAAGAAACCTTCCCTTGACCCATCACAGCTATCTAGCTACCGGCCCATCTCCAACCTCCCTTTCCTATCCAAGGTCCTTGAGAGAGCCATTGTCTCCCAGCTTCACTCTTTCCTCTCCTCCCACTCCCTCCATGAATCCCTCCAACTGCTTTGGTCAAGGTCACAAACGACATCCTGACCATGTGCGACCAGGGCTCCCTCTGCCTCCTCGTCCTCCTCGACTTCTCCGCTGCTTTTGACACCGTGGACCACTCAATCCTCCTCCACCACCTCTCCTCCCACCTCAAACTTCAAGGCTCTGTCCTTGACTGGTTCAAGTCCTACCTTTCATACTGTCTCCACTTCGTCGCAGCAAACGGCTTCTCCTCCAGCCCCTGCACCGTCTCGTGTTGTGTCCCTCAGGGCTCTGTCCTCGGTCCCCTCCTCTTCACCCTCTACATGCTCCCCCTTGGTGACATCATCCACAGACATGGGGTAAATTTCCGCATGTATGCGGATGACACCCAACTCTATCTCTCTGCCTCCACCCTCAACTCCAGGACTACTGGCATCCTGACAGACTACCTGTCTGACATCAAGTCCTGGACGAGGGACAACTTTCTCCAACTCAACGTCAGCAAGACCGAGGCCCTCCTGATTGGCTCGCGCAAGCATCGCCGCACCTTGGGCGCTGGCAGCATCAGCCTCCATGGCTGCACACTCAACCTCACTAAGCCAGTCAGGAACCTGGGTGTCTTGTTTGACCCTGAACTGTCCTTTCTCTCTCACATCCGTGCCATGACCGGCACTGCCTACCATCACCTCCGCAACATTGCCAGACTCCACCACTGCCTCAACCCTCAGGCTGCCAAAATCCTCACCCATGCATTCGTCACACCAAGGCTGAATTACCGGAACTCCTCCTCATTGGCCTTCTCAACTCTTCCCTTCACAAGCTGCAGACCATCCAAAACTCTGCAGTTCGTTCTCGTGTTCTCTTGCATACCAGGCTCTGTGACCCCATCACTCCCAACCTCGCCCGACTCCACTGGCTCCCCATCCCGCAGAGGATCGAGTTCAAGATCCTTGTCCTCACTTTCAAGGCCATCCATGGCCTTGCCCCCTCCTACCTCTCTGACCTGCTGACTCCCTACCAACCTGCCCGATCCCTCCGTTCAGCGGACTCCAGCCTGCTCTATGCCTCCTGCCCGATTCGCCCTACCATCGGTGGCCGGGCTTTCAGCCTCGCTGCCCCCACATTCTGGCACTCCATCCCATGGTTCCTTTGCCTCGCTTCCTCCCTTGCTGCCTTCAAGGCCGGTCTCAGGACCTTCTCTTCGATTGTGCCTTTGGTCCCCCTCACACCTCTCTGTCTTACCTCACTCCTACACCGCCCTCCCCCATGCTCAGGCCCCAATACCTGACTGTTCAGCGCCTTGGGACGTCCTTCTGATATGAAGGACGCTCTACAAATGTAATTTTGTTGTTGTTGTTGATGAGTGTTAGAGAGTTCGCAGTCTAGGCTGCTGATCCATTGCAGCACTGGAGGTGGGGTGGGTCGGAGAGGAGTGCTGCATTGTCAGAGGTTCCCGTCCTTTGTATGAGATGTCAGCCTGGTGCAGTGGTAGCACTCTCACCTCAGAAGGTTGTGGGTTCAAGTTCCACGTCGGGACTTGGAATCTTGTAGTCTAAACACTGGGGGAGGGGTTACATTGTCGGAGGTACCGTCCTTTGGATGAGATGTTAAACCGAGGTCTCATCTGCTTGTTCTATCCCCCTATTCCTCTGACTGTTTCTCCTCCGTTGAGCACCTCACCCTCTAACATCCCTCCTATCTCTCCCTCAAAATACTGCTAGTTTACCGTCCACCCTAAGCTCCTGGGTCCATCCTCACTGATATCTCCTCACTCCTCTCATCCCTGTCCTTCTGCACTGAACATCTCTTCATAATGGGTGATTTCAACCTCCACCTAAACTCCCCTGCACCACATCCTCGGATTTCACTGGCCTGCTCTCCCTAAACATCACCCTCCACATCGACTCGCCGACCCACAACCGTGGCCACCCCCTCGACCTCGTCATCACACACGGCCTTGACATTTCCGACCTGTCAATCATGGACAAGCCATCTCAGACCACTTTCTCATCTCCCTCTCCTCCTGCAACCCCCTCTCCTCTTCCAAACCATCCATCATTTTTTTCTGCCCCTGGAAAAAGCTTCCCCCTGAGTCCCTCACAAATGCCCTCTGTTCCTCGGACCTCCTCTCTCTGGCCCTCCACCCGCTGCAATCCTGATACAGCCATCAAGCTGCTGAATGACCATCTCTCCATAACCTTCAATTCCCTGAAATTCAGGGTTGTTTCCAAACCCACCCGCTCCCCCTGGTAAAACAGTCACCTCCGCTCACTCAAAACACAAACCCGGATGTTTGAGCGCAGATGGCAGAAATCTGGCCTCACGATCCACCGCCAGCTGTGGCTCAAGCACCTCCGCACCCACCGCCTCTCCCTTTCACAGGGCAAATCTGGCTTTTACTCCAACCTTTTACTCTATTCTCAAATCAAACACCAAGTGCAAAGAGGTCCTAGATTTCTTCACCTCAAACATTGGCTGTATTGTCCTCCCTCCCCAACCACCCCCATGCCCAGACAACAACAAAATTACGTTTGTATAGCGCCTTTCACGTCAGGAGGCTGTCCCAAAGCGCTGGGCAGTCAGTGTTTCGGATCTGAGCTTGTGATCGGGATTGGGAAGGGTGGAGGGCAACAACAACTTGGACTTATATAGTGCCCTCCACGCCGGACAGTGTCTCAGAGCGCTACACAGTAACAGATCCCGGGGCCGAGACGGGAGGGAAAGTGACCAAAGGCGTGGTTGAAAAGAAAGGTCTTCAGCCAACATCTGAAAATAGGAAGAGAGGGGGCGAGGCGAAGGGAGTGAGGAAGGGAGATCCAGAGCCTTGGGGCGTAATGGCTGAAGGCACAGCTGCCGATGGTGGAGTGGAGGATTTGGGGGACAAGGAGGAGGCCAGACCTGGTGGAGTGAAGGGAACGGGCACTGTTGTGAGGAAAGAGGAGGTCAGAGAGATAGGGGGGTGCAGAGGAGTGGAGGAATTTGAAGACAAGGGTAAGGATCTTGAAGTCGATCCTTTCTGGGATAGACAGCCAGTGCAGTCTGGCAAGAACTGCGGTTATCGGGGAGCGGAGTTTGGTGCGGATAAAAATGCAGGTGGCAAAATGCAACCTCCTTGGCCCCCTTCTCTTTCTGATCTATATGCTCTCTCTTGGGGATGTCATCCGCAGACATGGGGTACACTTCCGCATGTATGCGGACGACACCCAACTCTATTTTTCCACCTCACATTGCGACCCCCAGTCCCCTGATGTTCTGTCAGCCTGCCTGGCGGTGGGTGACAAGAGGCAGGGCAGGAAGCAGGGAGATCAAAAGCATGGTCGAAGAGGAGGGTCTTGAAATGGGTCTTGAAGGAGGCAAGAGAGGGGATGAGGTGAAAGGACTGCAGGTGGAGTTCCATAGGGTGGGGGCAGTATGGCTGAAGGTCCGCCTGCCAATGGTGGGGCGGGCGAGGTGGGGGACGTGAAGCAGGCTGAAGCCCGCTGAATGGAGGGACCAGGCAAGATGGTAGGGGCTTAGGAGGTTGCACAGGTAGGGAGCAAGGCCATGGAGAGCTTTGAAGGTGAGGACCAGGATCTTGAACTGTATCCTCTGTGTGATAGGAAGCCAATGAGTCGGTGAGGATGGGGGTGATAAGGTCATGAAGCCTGGTGCGAGAGAGGACAAGTGCTGCAGAGTTCTGGATGATCTGCAGCCTATGGAGGGAAGAGTTGGGGGGGCTGACAAGCAAGGAGTTTGCATAGTCAAGCCCCAATGTTATGAATGTTTGTATGAGGCTTTGGGCGGCCTGCGATGTGAGACAGTGTCGGAGCCAGGTGATGTTTGGATGTGGGGGGCAGGCAGAGTACGTCATGACACAGATTTGGGGTAGAAAGGATAATTGAGAGTCAAACAAGATGCTAAAGTTCCAGACTGGCTTAGTAAAGTGGAGTGTGCAACCATTGGTGATGCTGTCAGCACCTGAGGTATGGAGGCCCTGACGGGAGCCCATCAGGAGAGCCTCGGTCTTGTTGATGTTCAACTGAAGAAGGTTAGCTCTCATTCTGACAGTCATTCTGTCAGAACAGCAGTGGTCCGTCCTGGAGTCAAGAGTGGAGGCAGAGAGATAGAGTTGAGTGTTAGCCCCATACATGTGGAAGTTGACCCCATGTCTGCATATGATGTCACCAAGAGGGAGCACATAGATATTGAAGATGAGGGCACCAAGGACCGAGCCCTGAGGTATGCCACACGAGACAGTGGGTGGGGGCTAGAGGAGAAACCGTTTGTGGAGATGGAGGCAGTGTGAGAGGTACGATCTGAACCATTCAAGGACAGAATCATGAAAGTTGAGGCAAGAGGAGAGGCGGTGGATGAGGATAGGAGGTCAACTGTTGAAGGCAGCAGAGAGGTCAAGGAGGATGAGGAGGCAGAGGGAGCCCTGGTTGCAGATCAACAACATGTAATTTGTCACTTTGACCAGGGTTGTTTCTGTGCTGTGGGGGCACGGAAACCCGATTGGAGGGCTTTGTGAAGGGAGAGGAAGGAGCAAAACTGGGAAGCAACGACTCATTCCAGGACCTTGGAGAGGAGAGGGATGTTGGAGATGGGGCGGCAGTTTGACCATCCACACCATCTTCTCCCTCCACCACAGCTCCTGTAACTCTCCCCTCCTTACACTACTTTGCCCCCAATTTTCCTTCCTTCCTCTCAATCACAATCACCCACATAAAGTTCACCACCTGCTGCCTTGATCCCCTCTGCACCCAGTTGCTGGTCACTCAACTCCTCTCCCCTCTGTTGGCTGACATAGTCAACCAGTCTCTCTCCTCAGGCTCTGTTCCACTCCCCCTGAAAACCGCTGTCATCACACCCCTCCTCAAAAAACCCACCCTCGATCCCTCTAATCTCTCACACTATCGTCCCATATCCAACCTGCCCTTCCTTGCTAAAGTCTTGGAATGTATTGTTGCAGATCAACTTTGGTCACACCCTCCCTCCACTCTCTCCTCGAGCCCCTGCAGTCTGGTTTTGGCCCTGCCCACAGCACAGAGACAGCGCTTGTCAAAGTCACAGATTACATTCTCTGTATTTGTGACCAGGGCACCCTCTGCCTCCTCGTCCTCCTGGATCTCTCTGCCGCGTTCGACACAGTCGACCACGCCATCCTCCTCCATCGGCTCTCCTCCTTCATCTGCCTTAGCGGGACCAAACTCACATTGTTCGAGTCCTACTTAACCAACCTCCTTCACTTCATCTTGGCAAATGATTTCTCCTCTCGCCCCCACCCGGTCACCTATGGGGTACCCCAGGGCTCCATCTTTGGCCCTCTTCTTTGCCTTATCTAAATGCTCCCTCTGGGTGATGTAAACTTCCACATGTTTGGGGATCACACACAAATCTACTTTGCCTCCTCCTGTACCAACTCCAGGTCCGCCGATGTTCTATCAGCTTGTCTGGCAGACATCAGGGCCTGGATGAGTGTAACCTTCCTGCAGCTGAATGTGGACAAGACGGAATCCTTATTCTTTGGCTTCTGTCAACAACTTCACTCCTGCAGATCTAAACTCCTCAACCTCCCTGCGCTCTCCCTCAGAATCACCAAACCAGTGGCAACCTAGGCATCCGGTTCGAGCCCCAGCTGTCCTTCCTCTCTCACATCTGGCCTCTGATTAGGACCGCCTTCCTCCGCTACATTGTCCGCCTTATGCCAAATGCAGCCGAAATCCCTGTGAATGAGTTTGTCACCTCCCGCCTGGATTACTCAAACGCACTCCTCGCCGGTCTCCCCAGCCAAAGGCTCTACTGGCTCCCCATCACCAAACAGATCGACTTCCAGATCCTCATATTCATGTTCAAATCCGTTCATTCTCTGGCACCTCCCTACCTCTCCGACCTCCTCACTCCCCAATCCACCACCAGGCACCTCCTCTCGACTAGCACCGGCCTCCTGCTCGTCCCTCGCACCTTCCGCTCCACCATTGGTTTCAGCCACTATGCCCCAAAACTGTGGAACACTCTCCCTCAATCCCTCTGTCTTGACCCCTCTCCCCTTTTTTAAGTCCCGCCTGAATACTTTGCTTTCCGACTATGGTCATCTCGTGGAGTCCTGTAGCTCAGTGGTTAGAGCACTCACTTTGCAAGCGAGAGACCTGAGTTCAATTCCAGGCAGAGGGCGAAACCTTGGGCAAGTTTCCTTACTCCACACGCCTAATAATAATCCCTCCAAAACCAAAACAAACAATAATAAAAAAAATTAGTCATTTTCAATCTACGACTGTTTGTGGGACATTGCTGTGCGCAATTGGCTGCCATGTTCGCCCACAAATATACAGTCAATTCACTTTACAGTGTGTTCTGTGAAGCGCTTTGGGACGTCCTCCCGACGTGAAAAGCGCTATATCATATTCAAGGATTATTATTATTATTATCTCCACCCTTACCCCACCTCCACCAACACCCCGGCTTGGAGTCAGGCTCCGTCACTGGTTAGTGCTCCGAGACGCTACCCTGCATGGAGGGAGCTATGTAAGTACATTTTGTTGTTGTTGTGCTCAATTGGCTGCCGTGTTTCACATACAAAATACACAGCCAATACACTTTTCAGTATATTCTGTGCTTTGAGACATCTCAACAACGTGATAAGGCGCAATATCAAATGAAAGGATGATTATTATTATTATATTATTAAACACAGCACTGGAGAAGCTGATGAGCATCAATGGAATTGTGCAGGTTTTGTTTCCAGCACACTGTGAGTTAATGGTTGTAAAAAAATGTTTGGGAACAAATGGCTAATTTGTGGCAGTGTGGGAGGAATGTGAGGCAGAATTATCCTGTCATGGCATGAGAACGTCTAACACTGAGGAATGAGACCATTTGGCCGATTCATCGGATTCCTTCGCTAGCCCACATACAATGGAGTCCAGTCATGGACTACATCCAATTATTTCATCTCCTGAGGGAAATTGCTTTTCGAACTCCAGAAGTAATCATTAAACCACGCTCCACAAGCCTATCACTCCCATCCTCATTCGGCTCCACTGGCTCCCCATTCCCGCAGCGGATTTATTTTATCATTTTGTTAAGATGTCTCACAGCATTTCACAGAATATACCCGTAAAGTGAAATTGACTGTATATTTTGTGCGTGAAACAAGTCAGTCAATTGCGCACAGCAGTGTCCCACAAACAGCCATGAATTTTTGTTTTTTTTGGAAAAAATTTTTGTAAGTGCTTATTAGCCCCAGAAAGCGATCTGCCAATCGGCAAAAATCAACCGGGTTCCTACTTACTGACAAGTAAACAGAGGCGTGTGGAGTAAGGAACCTTGCCCAAGATTTCGCCCGGCACAGGAATCAAACCCGATTCCTCTCGCTTGCAAGCAATTGCTCTAACCAATACACTACAGGACTCCAGAACTGACATCTATGTACATGAAAACCTGACGCATATTGTGAAAAGGTGTCTCTTTTATTTCAATGCTCAGGTTTGCGGTCAACTCAATGGAACTTCAAGTTCACAAACCACGGAAGCTGCAGATGCACTGATGCTTGTGGGTGCACGTGTACAGCCAGTCCTAGCACCCAATCCCACCAACGTGTCCGAAGGTAAATAGAGAATGTCATTAATATACAGCTAACCGTGTTTTGGAGCAATCGTTAAGCCGAGGCTCCGTCTGCTTGTTCAGGTGGAAGGTAAAGATTCCGTGGCACTATCGGAAAACAAAGAAGCGACCTCTCCCAGGTCCTGGCCAACAGTTCCACCACCACACCCCCACCCCCCCCTATCCAATAAAGTTAGTCGTTTGCTTCATGGCTATTGGTGGGACGTTGCTCTGCACAAATTGGCTGCTGCATTCGCCCAGAAACACAGTCAGTTTCCAGTAAATCTTGTGAATAGCTTTGAGAAGTCCTCCTGACATGAGCCAAATATAAGGATTACTATTAGCAAGAAAGACTGTAACAGTTGCAGCTTCTCCCTCTGGAGTTGAGGTGATCAGGAGGTGACGTGATAGAGGAGATTAAAGTTATGAAAGGTGGATGTTTCTGAGCTGTTTCTACTTGTTGGTGAGTTCAAAACTAGAGGGTGTAATGATAAGATAGCCAATAACAGATCTCATAGGGAGTTTAGGATAAATTTCTTAACTCACTGCCGAAAGCTGCGGTCAAAGCAAATAGCATTAATGTATTTAAGAGAAATGCGTACATAAGAGACAGGGGAAAGGGGAGTATAGGTGAGAGGAATAAAAGGGGCGGAATCTTGTGTGGAGTATAAACACTAGCACGGACTGATTGGACCAAATGGCCTGTTCACACTCTACGTAACTTAATGTAACTGTGTAAATGCACAGTAATGCTGTAGTGAGCTACAAAAAGTAGTTTTGAGCAATGCGCCTCTATCTGTGCTCAGTGCGATCTTGTTTTGACTTAACAACTAAATGGGGGTTTCAAAGTTCCTCATGGTTTTCATCTTAATTAGGAAGACGGTCTTTAAAAGGAACTTAAGAAAGAAAACCAGCTTCTAAATAAAAAACAATTTAAGGCTTTTTCTAAATTTAAAATGTATATATATTCTATATTTTATTTTTATTTAGCATTGTATATTTTATATACGTTTTCTGCCCAATTTTATATCTTTATGTAATGGCTGAGCATGTGATGCATTTTGGACTATATACACATGTATGCACATACACTCACGCACACACAGATACACTTGCATTCAGACTTGTCCGTGCACACATACACCCACAGATGTGTCTGTACATGCATGCACAAGTTGATACACCTGAGTACCTACATGCGCATTCACACGCGGGCATACATATTCAACTATCGGGACACATGCTTGTATGCATGTGCACAATTACATCTCGGACCTGAACTTACACATGCCCAAGAGTCTGCTCACGCACACACATACACACACATACTCACTCATATATAATAATAATAATAATAATCCTTGCATTTGATATAGCGCTTTTCACGTCGGGAGGACGTCCCAAAGCGCTTCACAGAACATACTGCAAAGTGAATTGACTGTATATTTGTGGGCGAACGCGGCAGCCAATTGCGCACAGCAATGTCCCACAAACAGTCGTAGATTGAAAATGACCAATTTATTATTGGTTTTGGTTTTGGAGGGATTATTATTAGGCTCTGTGTGGAGTAAGGAAACTTGCCAAGGTTTCGCCCTCTGTCTGGAATTGAACTCAGGTCTCTCACTTGCAAAGCGAGTGCTCTAACCACTGAGCTACAGGACTCCATATATACACACATATATATCTGCAACTACACATATATATATATATATATATATGCACGCTTGCGTAGGCACCCATACACACATATCTGCACACACACTCACACACACATATCTATACACATATCTATACACACATGCACACAGATGCACGCACAGATACCACACGTACACACATAACAAGGGTTTCTGCGACTTGTTGACGTACCTTTGAATCGTGCTGCCATCTTCAGCGAGATACTTACTGCTCCACTGGGATCTCTTGGGTGTCACGTGCCTTTTTGTTTGTCAGCAGACACCCAGGAAAGGCCAGAGGATGAGGAGGCCCTTATCAAAGAAATCTTGCAGCGCTTACCGGCTAATGGAGACTCTTATATTGATCTGTCGCTTGAGGAGGAGCAAGCAGTCCTTGCGCAATACATGACTAAGCTCATAGACTCGGAGACCAGACAATAATCAACACCTGCCTGAACACCATCCACCCAACTCCTGCACAGATCATTGCTTCCTGCCAACCCCAGCCCTGAAATTCCCCTGTGGTCTTAGCCTTAAAAGACAAATTCATTGTCTTCATATGTGAGATGTTGCAGGGTTCGAGACTGAACGCTTTGAAATATTGATTCAGCCCTTAATGTGGAAGAGACTAAATGTGAAAGTATGTCCTGACTGTCTAGCGCCTTGGAATGTCTACCTGATGTGAAAAGCGCTACACAAATATGAATTGTTATTTGTTGTTGTGAAAGGTCTGCTCGTAAATGTGAATTGTACTGTGTTGTCTCCCGCCTCCGCCACATCGTCGAGCTCCGCCACTGTATCTTTCTTCAGGCAGGCAAAACCCTCATTTATGCATTATATCTTTCCTTGAACACGGCAAGCTCGTCAGCCTTCCCATCTCTTCCCTCCACAAGCTGCAGATCATACAGACCTCTGCAGCTCGTGTCCTGCACCAGGCTCCGTGACCCCATCATCCGCACCTTCGCCTGGCTTCACTGGCTCCCCTTCCCCCAGAGGATAGAGTTCAAAATCCTCGTCCTCACATTCAAAGCTTTCCACGGCCTCGCATCTTCCTACCTCTGTGACCTACTAAGCCCATATCATCCTGTCCACTCCCTCCCTTTAATGTTACCCACTAATCTTTTCTCATATGATCTCTTTGCCCCTCTTCTTTTTCACTTCTCCTCTGTACTTTCTATATTCTGTTTGATTATCTTCTGTATTTTGGACCTGACATTTATCATAAGCTTCCTTTTTCTGTTTTATTTTAATCCCAATTTCCTAAGTTATCCAGGGAGGTTTGGATGCCCTACCTTTCCCCTTTGTGGGAATGTATTTGTTCTGTCCCCGAACTATCCTCGAAGGTTTCCCATTGCTCATTAGCTGCATTACCTGCCAATCTTTGTTTCCATTCCACTTTGGCGAGGTCTCTTTTTAACTCACTGAAATTAGTTCTCTTCCAGTTGAGTAGCTTCACCTTTGATTGTTCCTCTGCTTATTTGATTATTCGAATAAAACATGAAGCTCTTTACCACAAATTGTTATCAAAGCCAAGTCATTAGCAGAGATCCCAGCACCACAAGGATGGAACTGAGTGAGGTGGAACAGAGTGAGAATTCTGTTAAGGAATTTGGTGAAAGTGGGAATTCGGTGCAGAGGGGGAAAGAGATGCATAATTATAAAATATTAAGTTATATTAGTTATATTAAAACATGTCTGGGAATATGGCAGGGCAGTTGAGACCGATTGCATGCACAATGTGTGCCATGTGGGAACTCCACGATGCTTTGTGTGAGCTGGACAGAAACGTGTGGAGGAAGTGCCTCTGGCTGCTCGAGCTTGAGCTCAGAGTTCCTGAGCTTGAGGAGAGGCTGATGTCACCACATAACAAACGGGAGGCTGAAGAGTTCATGGATCAAAGGTTTCAGGAGGTGGTCACTCCACAGGCACAGAGGGTTCAGAAGGAGAGTATGGTAGGAAGAGAGGGCGGGCAGTGCAGAAATCCCCTGAGAGTGTGACACTCAGAAACCGGTTTTCAGGGGGATGACACCTCTGGAGAGGGGAGTCAAAGGCAAATGGATGCACAGGGAGACACAGGAAAGAGTGTCAATGCAATTGTCATTGGGGACACAATGGTGAAAGGAGTAGACAGGCGTTTCTGCAACCAAAGACGTGACTCTCGCATGGTATGTTGCCTCCCTGGTGCCAGAGTTGAAGAGATCATGGAACAGGTGCAAAACATTCTACAGGAGGAAGGAAAATATCCAGAAGTTGTGATCCATTTTGGGATCCATGACGTAGGGGGAAAAAAAGGCTGAAATTCTACACGGAGAGTATCAAAAGCTATGGAAAAAGTTAAATTGTAGGACCTCAAAGGTGGTGATCTCCGGATTAACTCCCAGTGTTTCGTGCAACTCAGCAGGATCAAACACATGAATGCATGGCAGGAGAAATGGTGCAGAAAGGAGGGCTTCAGGTTTCTGGATCAATGGGACCCGTTCCGGGGCAGATGGGACCTGTACAAGATGGATGGGTTACACCTGAATAGGGCTGGGACCAATCTCCTCGCAGGGAGATTAACTAGTGCTGTGGGGAAGGGTTTAAACTAATTTCGAGGGGCGAAGGGAATCAGGATGTAGCATTAGAGAGGACAAACAAGTTACATAGAGGGCTGGGAGAGACGAATAGCAATGTAATAAGGAGTAATCCAAAAAGGAGGGATTAGACAGGGGAGAAATGCAAACAGACTAAGTCGGTCTTGGAGTGCATGGAACGCACGGAGTGTGACAAATATATTCTGTGACAGTATATTCTGTGAAGCGCTTTGAGGCGTCTAGAAACTTTAAAATAAGTCTGTTTTTGAGTGCATGTGGTAAATGCAGAGTGTGACAAATAAGGTTGGTGAGCTGCAGACTCAAGTTGCCATGTGGAGTTATGATTTTGTGGCAATAACAGAGACTTGGCTCAAACACGGGCAGAAATGGGCGCTGAATATTCCTGGCTACAATGTATTCAGGAGGGATAGGGAAGGAAGAAAAGGAGGGGGCGGTGGCAATATTGATTAAAGACACGGTTACGGCCTGGAAAGGGACGATGTGCTGGAGGGTCCAAAAACAGAATCTACTTGATTAGAGTTAAGGATCAGGAAAGGAACTGTTACTCTCTTAGGTGTATACTACAGACCAGCAAAAAGTGGGAAGGAGATAGACCAGCAAATCTGCAAGCAGGTTTCAGAAAGATGCAAAACCAATAGAGTAGTGATAATGGGGGACTTCAATTATCCTAACATAGACTGACAAAATAACAGTGTAAAGGGCAAGCGGGACTGTAGGCTGGAAGTAGGTCCGGGGGCTTGAAGCAGGTCCTGGGGCTGGAGGTGATTCCGGGGACCAGAAGCGGGTCCGGGTCCTGTAAGCGTATCTGGAGGCTGGAAGTGTGTCCCGGGGCTGGAAGCGCTTCCTGGGCCTGGAAGCGGGTCCGGGCACTGGAAGCATTTCCGGCAGCTGGAAGTGGATCCGGGGGCTGAAGCACGTCTGGGGGCTGGAAGCGGGTCCGGGGGCTGGAAGCGGGTCCAGGCGCTGAAAACGGGTCCTGGGGCTGAAAGCGGGTCCGGGGGCTGGAAGCGTGTCCTGGGGCTGAAAGACAGTCTGGGGGCTGGAAACTTTTCCGGGGGCTGGAAGCGGGTCCGGGGGCTGGAAGCGGGTCCGGGGGCTGGAAGCGGGTCCGGGGGCTGGAAGCGGGTCCGGGGGCTGGAAGCGGGTCCGGGGGCTGGAAGCGGGTCCGGGGGCTGGAAACAGGTCCAGGATCTGGAAGATATTCCAGGCCTGGAAGCAGGTCCGGGTGCTGGAAGCAGGTCCGGGGGCTAGAAACTTTTCCGGGGGCTGGATGTGGGTCAGGGGGCTGGGAAGCGTGTCCGTAGACTGAAAGCAGGTCTGTGGGCTGGAAATGGGTACTGGGGCTGAAAGCGGGTGCGGGGGCTGGAAGCGGGTCGGGGGCCTGGAAACGGGACAGTGGGCTGGAAGCGCATCTGGGGCCTCGAGGCGGGTCTGGGAACTGGAAGCGTATCCGTGGGCTGGAAGCTGGTCCAGGGTTGATTGCGGGTCCGGGGGCTGGAAGATGGTCTGGAAGCGGGTCTGGGTACTGAAAACGGGTCCGGAGACTGGAAGCGGGTTCGGGGGCTAGAAACGGTTCCGGGGGCTGGAAACGCGTCTGGGGAATGGAAGCGGGTCCGGGGACTGGAAGCTGGTCCGGGGGCTGGAAGCGGATCCTGGGGCTGAAAGACCATCCGGGGGCTGGAAACTTTTCCGGGGGCTTGATGCGGGTTGGGGGCTGGAAGCGGGTCCAGGGGCTGGAAGTGGGTCCGGAGCTTGGACCCGGTTCTGGTGTCTGGAAGATGATCCGGGGCCTGGAAGCGGTTCCGGTGGCTGGAACCTTTTCTGGGGGCTGGATGCGTGTCAGGGGGCTGGGAAGCATGTCTGTAGACTGAAAGCAGGTCTGTGGGCTGGAAATGGGTACTGGGGCTGAAAGCGGGTCCTGGGGCTGAAAGCGGGTGCGGGGGCTGGAAGCGGGTCGCGGGCCTGGAAACGGGACAGTGGGCTGGAAGCTCGTCTGGGATCTCGAGGCGGGTCTGGGAACCGGAAACATATCCGGGGGCTAGAAACGGGTCCTGGGGCTGAAAGACAGTCTGGGGGCTGGAAACTTTTCCGGGGGCTGGATGCGGGTCAGGGGGCTGGAAGCGTGTCTGTAGAGTGTAAGCAGGTCTGTGTGCTGGAAGCGCGTCTGGGGTCTGGAAGTGGGACCGGGGCCTCGATGCTGGTCCGAGGGCTGGAAGCTGGTCCGGGGGCTGGAAGCAGGTCCAGGGGCTGGAAGCGGGTCCTGGGGCTCAAAGCGTGTCCTGGGACTGGAAGTGGGTCCGAGTGCTGGAAGCGGTTCCTGGCCAGGAAGCAGGTCAGGGGGCTGAATGTGGATCTGTTGGCTGGAAGTAGGTCTGGTGCCTGGAAGCGGGTCCTGGGGCTGGAAGCAAGTCCGGGAGTTGGAAGCGCGTCCGGGGCCTGGAAGCGGATCCAGGGGCTGGAAGCTGGTCCTGAGGCTGAAAGCGGGTCCCGGGGCTGGAGCGTCTGGGGCCTGGAAGCGGGTCCGGAGACTGGAAGCGGGTCGGGGGCTGGAAGCGGATCCTGGGGCTGAAAGCGTGTCCTGAGGCTGAAAGCGGGTTCGGGGGCTGGAAACGGTTCCGGGGACTGGAAACGCGTCCGGGGGCTGGAAGCGGGTCCTGGGGTTGAAAGACTCTCTGGGGGCTGGAAACTTTTCCGGGGGCTGGATGCGGGTCATGGGGCTGGAAGTGTGTGTGCAGACTGGAAGCAGGACTGTGGGCTGGAAATGGGTCCTGGGGCTGAAAGCGTGTCCTGGCCCTGAAAGCGTGTCCTGGGCCTGAAAGCCAGTCCGAGGGCTGGAAGCGGGTCTGGGGCTAGAATCGGGTCCAGGGGCTGGAAGCAGGTCCGGGGGCTGGAAACGCATCTGGGGGCTGGAAGTGGGACTGGGGCCTGGATGCTGGTCCGGGGGCTGCAAGCGGGTCTGGGTGCTGGAAGTGGTTCCGGGGAAAGCAAGTGGGTCCGAGGCCTGGAGGCGGGTCCGGGGGCTGGAAGCGGGACAGTGGGCTGGAATCGCGTCTAGGGCCTGGAAGCGTGTCCGGGGACTGTAAGCGGTTCCGGGGCTGGAAGCGTGTCCAGGGGCTGGAAGTGTATGCGGGGGCTGGAAGCGGGTCCGGGAGCTGGAAGCGGGTCAGGGGCCTGGAAGCGGGTCAGGGGTCTGGAAGTGGGTCCGGGGGCTGGAATCGAGTCAGGGGCCTGAAAGCAGGTCCGGGTGCTGGAAGTGGGTCCAGGGTCTGGAAGGGGGTCGGGGTCTGGAAGCGGGTCCGGGATCTGGAAGCAGATCCTGGGGCTGGAAGCGGGTCGGGGGTCGGGAAGTGTTTCTGGTGGGTGGAAGCGCGTCCATGGGCTGGAAGCGGGTCTGGGGGCTGGAAGCGGTTCAGGGTCCTGGAAGCGGGTCCAGGTGCTGGAAACGGTTCCTGGCCTGGAAGCAGGTCCGGGGGCTGAAAGCGTGTTCGGGTGCTGGGTGCGGGTCCGGGGGCTGGATGCGGGTCCGGGGGCTGGAAACGGGTCCGGGGGCTGGAAACGGGTCCTGGAAGTGGGTCCGGGGGCTGGAAGCAGGTCTGCGGCTTGGAAGCGGGACTGTGGGCTTGCAGCAGGTCCGAGGCCTGGAAGCGGGTCTTGGGGCTGGAAGTGGGTCCAGGGGCTGGAATTGGGTCAGGGGCCTGGAAGCGGGTCCGGGTGATGGAAGCGGTTCCTGTCCTGGAAGCAGGTCAGGGGGCTGAATGTGGGTCCATTGGCTGGAAGTGGGTCCGGTCTCTGGAAGCGGGTCCTGGGGCTGGAAGCAGGTCTGCAGCTTGGAAGCGGGTCGGAGGGCTGGAAGCGGGTCCGATGGTTGGAACCGTGTCCGGGGGCTGGAAAGGGGTCCTGGGGCTGGAAGTGTGTCTGCAGCCTGGAAGCGATTCTGGAGGCTGGAAGCGGGTCGGGGGTCTGGAAGCGGGTCGGGGGGCTGGAAGCGGGACTGTGGGCCCGAAGCGAGTTCTGGGGCTGGAAGCGGGTCCAGGATCAGGAAGAGTTTCCGGGGGCTGGAAGCGGGTCCGATGGTTGGAAGCGGGTCAGGGGCCTGGAAACGGGACTGGGGCCTGGAAGCGTGTCAGGGGGCTGGAAGTGCGTCCGGGGGCTGGAATCAGGTCAGGGGCCTGAAAGCGGGTCCGGGTGCTGGAAGCGATTCCTGGCCTGGAAACAGATCAGGGGGCTGGAAGAGTGTCCTGGGGCTGGAAGCAGGTCCTGGGGCTGGAAGCTGGTCGGGGGTTGGGAAGGGTGGTTTCTGGTCGATGGAAGTGCATCCATGGGCTGCAAGTGCGTCCGTTGGCTGGAAGCGGTCCCAGGGCCTGGAAGTGGGTCCAGGGTCTGGAAGCAGGTCCTGGGGCTGGAAGCGGGTCGGGGGTTGGGAAGTGTTTCTGGTGGGTGGAAATGCATCCATGGGCTGGAAGTGGGACCGGTGCCTAGAAAAAGGTCCGTGGCCTGGAAGCGCGTCCATGTGCTGGAAGCGGGTCCGGGGGCTGGAAGTGGGTCACAGGGCTGGAAAAATGTCCGAGGGGTGGAAGAGTATCCGTGTGCTTGAAGCACATCCATGTGCTAGAAGCGGGTCAGGGGCCTGAAAGCGGGTCAGGGGCCTGGAAGCGGGACCAGGGCCTGGAAGTGGCTCAGGGGCCTGGAAGCGTGTCCGTGGACTAAAAGCAGGTCCTGGGGCTGGAAGTGGGTCCGGGGGCTGGAATCGGGTCAGGGGCCTGGAAGCAGGTCCAGGTGCTGGAAGCGGTTCCTGGCCAAGAAGCAGGCCAGGGGGCTGAATGTGGATCCGTTGGCTGGAAGTAGGTCTGGTGCCTGGAAGCGGGTCCTGGGGTTGGAAGCAGGTCCGGGAGTTGGAAATCCGGGAGTTGGAAACGCGTCCAGGGCCTGGAAGCGGATCCAGGGGGTGGAATCGGTTCCGGGCCTGGAAGCGGATCAGGGGCCCGAATGCGTGCCCGGGGGCTGAATGTGGGACCAGTGCCTGGAAGCAGGTACAGGACCTGGAAGCGGGTCCTGGGGCTGGAAGCAGGTCCATGAGCTGTAAGCAGGTCCGAGGGCTGTAAGTGGTTCCGGGGGCTGGAAGCGGGTTTGTTGCCTGGAAGCGTGTCAGGGGGCTGGAAGCGGGTCAGGGTGCTGGAAGCGGGTCCGTGGGCTGGAAGCGGGTCAGGGGGACAGAAGCGGGTCCGTGGGCTGGAAGTGGGTCAGGGTGCTGGAAGCGGGTCCGTGGGCTGGAAGCGATCCAGGGGGCTGGATGCAGGTCAGGGGGCTCGCTTCCGTGGACCCGCTTCCAGCAAAATAATGTTGTGAAAAATTTTGAGTTCAATAAAATGATTAGCCAAATAAAATGATACGAGTATTTTTTCAATATGCACTGAAATGCCATTACATGAAAAATCAAATAATTTTTTTTAATGTACAAATCTGAAGTAAAATGATATTTGCTACTATTTTCTGAAAAATATTCTGTGAAATTAAATCTTAATTTTTATAATGATATTTGATACGATTTTTCTTTCAACATCCATACAAAAAACGTTTTCTAATCGTTGTAAAATATCGAGTGAAATAATATGTCAAATGTTTTATAGTACCATTGCGAATAAAACAAACATACACATAAATAACTTTGTGAAAAATATAGAGTTCAATAAAATGATTGGTCAAATAAAATGTACAAGCCAAATGATACATGTATTCTTTCAACATGCACAGAAACACAAATCCTTGAAAAATCAAATCAAATTGTTTTAATGTTCAAATCTGAAGTAAAATGATATTTGCTACGATTTTTACATCAACATCCATAGAAAGAGCCTCATTTTGCAATCTCTGTAAAATATCTTACAAGATAAAATTTTGAATCTTTAATGTACAAAAGTAGAATAAAATCAGATTCGATACGATTTTCCCATCATCATCTTCATAGAAAAAATTTTTTTAATCACTGTAAAATATCAAGTGAAATAAAATGTCAAGTTTTTAATAGTACCATTGTGAAATAAAACAATATTCACCAAAATAAAGTTGCGTAAAGTTGTCAAAAATATCGATTGAAATAAAATGTTAAGTGTTATAGTGTACCAGTGTGGAGTAAAATGATATGTTTTTATCAACATGCAAAGGAAATAACATTACATGTAAATATAAAATAAAATAGTTTTAATGTACAAATGTGGAATAAAATGAGATTTGATACGATTTTCACATCAATATCCACAGAAACAGCATTATTTGGAATCGCTCGAAAATATCGAGTGAAATAAAATTTCGATTATCTTAAAGTACAAAAGTAGAGTAAAATCACATTTGATCCGATTTTTCCATCACAATAATACGTCGCATGAATTTTCTGTAATAATGTCAAGTGAAATAAAATGTTTAGTTTTTTTATCACCAATAAGAAGTAAAGTAATATTCCTGCTGGTTTCCAACACCCACGGAAATAACGTTTCATGATCTCTTAGTGAAACAGTTGATTGAAATTGAATATCAACTACTTTGATGTAGATATGTGTGAATATAATCACATTTCAAGCGAGTTGACCACTAACATGTACCAAAATAACAATGCCCAGATTTTCTGAAAAATATTCAGTGAAATTCCCGGACCCCCTTCCCGTCCCCGGACCCGCTTCCAAATCGCAGACCCGCTTCCCGACCCCGGATCCGCTTCCATATCCCAGACCCGCTTCCCGTCCCCGGAACCGCTTCTAAATCCCAGACCCGCTTCCCGTCCCCGGACCCACTTCCCGTCCCCGGACCCGCTTCCAAATCCCGGACCCGCTTCCCGTCCCCGGAACCGCTTCCAAATCCCGGACCCGCTTCCCGTCCCCGGACCCGCTTCCAAATTCCGGACCCGCTTCCAAATCCCGGACCCGCTTCCCGTCGCCGGACCCGCTTCCAAATCCCAGACCCACTTCCAAATCCCGGACCCGCTTCCAAATCCTGGACCCGCTTCCAAATCCCGGACCCGCTTCCCGTCCCCGGACCCGCTTCCAAATTCCGGACCCGCTTCCAAATCCTGGACCCGCTTCCCGTCGCCGGACCCGCTTCCAAATCCCAGACCCACTTCCAAATCCCGGACCCGCTTCCAAATCCCGGACCCGCTTCCAAATCCCGGACCCACTTCCCGTCTGCTGACCCGCTTCCAGCTCCCGGACCCGCTAACAGCCCCTGGAAACGTTTCAAGCCTCTGGACCCGATTCCAGCCCCCAGAAGTGTGTGTATGTGTGAGTGTGTGTCAATGTGTGTGTGCGTCTGTGTGTGTGTAATTGTGTGTGTGAGTGTGTGTGTGAGTGTGTGAGAGTCTGAGTGTGTGAGTTTCTGTGAGTGTGTGTGTCTGTGAGAGTGTGTTTGTGTGTGAGTGAGTCAGTGTGTGTGTGAGTTTGTGTGTGTGTCAGTGTGTGTTTGCATCTATGAGTGTGTGAGTGTATGTGTGTATGAGTCTGTATGTGTGAGTTTGTGTGTGCGTGACTGTGTGCATTTGAGTGTGTGTGTGCGAGTCTGTGTGTGTGTCAATGTGTGTGTGAGTGTCTGTGTGTATGTGTTTGTGAGAGTGTGTGAGTCTGTGTGTGTCAGTGTGTGTTCGTCTACGTGTGTGAGTGTGTGTGTGAGGCTAAGAGTCTGTGTGTGTGATTGTGTGTATGTGTGAGTGTGTGTGTGTGTGCTTGTGCGAGTCTGTGTGTGTCAATGTGTGTGAGTGTGTGTGTGAGTTTGTGCATGTGTGAGTGTGTGTGTGTGCGTGTGCGAGTCTGTGTGTGTCAATGTGTGTGAGTGTGTGTGATTGGGTGTATGTGTGAGTGTGTGCGAGTCTGTGTGTGTGTGAGTGTGTGTGAGTGAGTGTGTGAGTGTGTGTGTCAATGTGTGTGTGAGTGTGTGTTTGTGAGTCTGTGTGTGTGAATGTGTGTGTGTGAGTATGTGTGTGGCAGTGTGTGCATGAGTGTGTTTGTCTGTGTGTGTGCATCTGTGAGTGTGTGTGTGTGTGTGTGAGTCTGTGCGTGTGAGTCTGTGTGTGAGTGTCTGTGTGTATGTGTATGAGTGAGTGTGTGTATTTGTGTGTGTGTCAGTGTGTGTTTGCATCTGTAAGTGTCTGTGTGTGTGTGAGTGTGTGAGTGAGTGTGTGTGCCAGTGTGTGTGTGCATCTGTGTGTGTGAGTGTGTGTGTGTGAGTCTGTGTGTGTGAGAGTCTGTGTGAGTTTGTGTGTGTGAGTGTGTGTATGTGTGTGTGTGTGTGTGAGTGTGTGTGTCAATGTGTGTGTGTGTCTCTGTGTATGTGTGTGTGAGTCTGTGTGTGTGTGCGTCTGTGTGTGTGAGTATGTGTAAGGCTATGAATCTGTGTGTGTGTAATTGTGTGTGTGTGTGTGAGGCTGTGAATCTGCGTGTGAGAGTGTATGTGTGTATGAGTCAGTGTGTGTGAGTTTGTGTGTGCGTGAGTGTGAGTGTGCATGTGAGTGTGTGTGTGCGAGTCTGTTTGTGTGTGTGTCAATGTGTGTGTGAGTGTCTGTGTGTGTGTGTTTGTGAGAGTGTGTGAGTCTGTATGTGTGAGTCTGTGTGTGTCAGTGTGTGTTCGTCTATGTGTGTGAGTGTGTGTGTGTGTGTGAGGCTAAGAGTCTGTGTGTGTGTGATTGTGTGTGTGTGTGAGTCTGTGAGTGTATGTGTGTATGAGTGATGTGTGAGTATGTGAGTCTGCGTGTGTGTTTGTGTGTGTGTGAGTTTGTGTGTGTGAGTCTGTGTGTATGTGTGTGTCCGTGTGAGTATGTGTGTCTGTGCGTGTGTGGGTGAGTGTGTGTGTGTGAGTGTGTGTGTGAGGCTGTGAATCTGTGTGTGTGTGTGTGTGAGAGTGTGTGTGTGTGTCCATATGTGTGAGTCTGTGTGTGTGAGTCTGTGTGTGTGTGCATCTGTGTGTGTGAGTTTGTGTGTCAATGTGTGTGAGTGTCTGTGTGTGAGTGAGTGAGTGAGTGAGTGAGTGTGTGTGCGAGTTTGTGTGTGTGTCAGTGTGTGTTTGCATCTGTGTGTGTGAGCGTGTGTGAGTGTGTGTGAGCGTGTCTGTGTGAGTGTGAGTGTGTGTGTGTATGAGTGTGTGTGAGTATGTGTGTGTCTGTGAGTCTATGTGTGTGAGTGAGTGTGTGTGAGTGTGTGTTCGTCTGTGTGTGAGTGGGTGTGAGGCTATGAGTCTGTGTGTGTGTGTAATTGTGTGTGTGTGAGTGTGTGTGTGAGTGTGTGAGAGTCTGTGTGTGTGTGTTTGTGTGAGTGTGTGTGAGTGTGTGTGTATGAGTGTGTGTGTGTCAGTGTGTGCGTGTGTGAATGAGTGTGTTTGTCTGTGTGTGTGCATCTGTGAGTGTGTGTGTATGAGTGTGTGTGTGTGTGCATCTGTGTGTGTGAGTGTGTGTGTGTGTAATTGTGTGTGTGTGAGTCTGTGTGTGTGTGTGTGTGTGTGTGTGAGTGTGTGTGTGTGAGTCTGTGTGTGTGAGAG